AAATTATTTTGTGGTTACTTGAGTTTATCAAATATTCGCCGCTGTTTTTGAGGCATTGCAGCCTTGATTACCCTTGGGCAATGCATACCAATTTAAAAAAATCACTGTATAGGGGAATGAAAGGGCATCATGAAAGATTGTGTTAAAATACTTGTACTTTACTTTGAAAGTACATTGTACTTATAGTTCTTTACTTCAAGTACATTGTTCCCATTGTATTTCATACAAATTTACTTAAAGTACATCACGTCTCATTTACTTTGTACTTTAATTACCTGAAGTATCTCTTAGATGTATTTTACCTAACGCTGACCTTTCGCGTCGTCAACAGGAAGGAGCGGGCGTCAGTGACAGACACGAGCCTAGGAATGTATGCATGCATATACAACAATAATCCTGTGTGAAAGAGGTTGTGTAAAAGACGTAAATAAAATTTGGAATGTTTTTCGTCTTCAGCGGTGGTTTGCATTCCCGATCTCCCGCGCCCCCGCCCCCGATGATCCCAGTTTTTAGCGTCTGCATGAGAGAATTCACTAAAAAGCACCGGTATTGGTGAAATAAATAAACGCCGATAAACATCCGCCGATTTTTGTTATAAATAAACACCCTATGATGTATAATATGTTACTTCGCTCACTCTCTTTTAAAATCGATTTTCTATTTCATTGCTAGTTTTCCACGTTGCTTAAACATGTAAAGTGCCAAACATGCATTGTTTCCTTTGTGTCATGACAACTTTTCGCGTTGTTTTGTCGCCAGCCATGTCTGCTCTTGAATCACAGGGGAATTGCTCCAGAAGTATCCAGCGTCCTCACACATATTCTAATGTTAAAATGCCTGAGCCGTTCAGCGTCGATTTATTTGATAGACGTAACACAGCGGCTTGAAACGCGAAATTTCGTCACGGCTGCTGATACCTCGGCGGACGTTTCACGTATTTTGAAAACATAGTACACGAGAGAAAATAAAAAAAAATAAACTGCCCCATTTTTTTATATTACCCCGAGAGCGTTGCGGTGAGAAGAGAACGACTTCAATTGCGGATTTGCCTTCGTCGACGCTCCAAAATCCGGTCGACTATCGAATCCAGGTTTATCAGACTTTCATTATGCCACACTAATTAATCTTGTAAAAAAACACAGCCGACAAGTGGCCGGGAAAAGGTCCGCACGCAGCGCTTTTCGGCCCCAGCGCAGCCAAAATGCCGCTGATGCCGCGGTCGGATAGCATACAGGGCTTCCGAGGCGCCTCCTGGCGACAGATTTCCTTTTGGTGCCGCGCGCCGGCCGCCGCTTGACACACCCAACTCTCTAGCCACCATAGCCAAACCCCTCTAGATTCTCCCTCAGTGGCCAGACAAAAACAAAAACTCTTCCAAAACCAATTCGTTTGCAGATTCATTCGCTTTAGCACAATTTGGCACAATGTTTCCCTCTGTATGCAGCAAGGGGCAAACAGCAGGAATTTATCAATATAGCACAAATGGTGCAACTGGACTACACCTGCTAATGTCGTCTAATAAAAAAATTACATTTTGGGTGCCTGTAGCATCCATTTCAGAGAAACGAACTGAATGAGAAGTGTTTTTCACCGATATAAAACCCTTGAGCGTTCACAATATAATTTCTTGTTTTGACGACATTACCGTAAAATACCACGGTAGTGCCCGCTTCCTTCAAGAGCCCACTATTAACATTTCTCAAACTTGGGAATTGGGCATTTTATACGTAAAGCGCCCGATTTGACTGACCCAATTTTCAGTGAAAGTGGGCTGGGCGCTCCCCCGGTATTTTACGGTAGGCATAGGTGAACATCGGCTCATAAATAAATTTTGTTTTTCTTAATTATCTTTTAATCCAGGCAGCGACATGTTCTCAGACTTTCAAGTTCTATCCCAACCGCTAGCTTAACATTATCACAGAGTTTGAGCTTTCTGCGATGCATGGTTTATTTATTCGGGCCAAAAAAACACGGTTTTCTTTTCTTGGGAACTCCCTGTACATTGTTTTACCTGTATTTAAATGTAGACGATTTATTTGTAACCATTTTGATAATTTACAAAGAAATTCATTAACAACTTTTTTATACACTTTTTCGTCACACCAGCAAAGAATATGCTTCTGTCATCTGCATACATTATTAATTCAGGGGAACCTGGTATTGCCGTAATATCAATAATGTACACGAGGAATAAAAGGGCGTTAGAATGGAGCCTTGAGGGATACCATGTCATATTTTCACTTTATTTCTAGATGAATGACCATTTATGAATACATATTGATAACGATCAGTAAGATATCTCTTTATTAGTCTTAGCACAACCCTTCGGACACTGGATTTCGAGCTTTTTCACAGTATCAATCTTTGTTAGCATACAATTGATGATGCACGCAAAAATCTCAGAATACCGGAAGAACGGAAATCGGTCCATGGCTAGTATTTTCACATAAAAACATTAAAACAATGTTTTCTGCTCAAACCTTTGCATTTGTTTTTTTACATCTATAGAAAGGAATAATACAATGCTTCTTCTTTTGAGCATGCTTTCCTCAGAAAAAAAAAAAAAGCGGGCTCTCAAGGGTTTGCTGTCTTGCCAAGGCAATAAAGGGGATGTGGACCTGCTTGCCATTGGCACATCGTCCAGTCCATTGGCACATCGTCCAGTCCGGGCGTGTCGTACGGGATGAATACCAATCCTTTTGATCAGTCCCAAATTTCTCTTTTAAAGGCAGACAGAATTTGCCGGTACCGTGAACGACAGTTCTAAAGTAGAGGTCCCACGCCCGTCGTCCGCTGCCATCTCCGTCCCCGCGAGTCCTACGATACGCGAAACGACGCACGCACAGAATGCTTCCTGTTCTCTGTAGAACTTTCTTTTTTTCAATCAGCGTATCTGCAGCTTTTTATAAGCCACAAAAAAATGGGTTGCATGTTTCTTTCTATTCTTAATACTGAGTGTGTGCCTTCAGTGACCAACGACTTTGATTAAATTTGGTGGTCGCTTCGCTACCTTAGAAAACGGCCCGTGACCACGGGCCGTTTTCGGGCGAGACTCGAACCGGCCAGTTCTTGATCGGCGGTTTTCGGGCGGAAAGAAACCAAATTTCGAGTCGCAAATTGTGTTCTGGGTAGTTGGGCTCTCTTATGTCATGCACAACTAAAAACCTCGGCGAGCATAAATACCCTGTCAGTGTCCCTTTAAGGGGGAAGTGCCCGAAATGCCAACTTTGAGCAATCCGCAGAAAGCACTTCAGACTGACAGTGTGCTTCTAAATATTTTCTGCAAAGGCAAAATTAATTTTATTCAAAATTAAAAATGGTTACTGGACATGGTCGGCCAAACTTACCTGAAAACAATTCAACAACTAGTTTGAACAGCATGCTTTCCGGTATGTATTCACTGGCTGCAATAGCTTTTCTTTTTTTGTGCATTAGCAGTGCTAAACGACACAGAGGGAAAGGCCCCAATGCGTGGGACCTTTCCCTCTAGATTATTATATTAACTCTATGCACACATCAATCAAGCGCTGCGCAGTGTCGCCAGATCGATTAGGCCTACAGCGTCGGACAACCGTCATCAACACACTGGTCAGTGCATTGGTGCTGCAGAGAGAAGGTTATTTAGAGCTTATAAACCTTTCGTTTAAGCCTTACGTTAAAGAAAATTAACTGTCCATCCCGAAACAGTCGTATACCTTACTGCATCTACTACATGAAGACTGACTCGGATGTACCAGGGAGCGCGGCCGGCCTCACTTCCACCACGCACGACTCTTATTGGTCTTGACCTGGCAAGCCACTTCTGGCGTGAATGCTGAGATTTGGCCGAGACAGACATTGGTGCCCGAGCGCCTCACGTGCATCGCATTGTTGCGGGTGGCATCGAGCAATGTGCCCCGACGCAGGGGGACGCCGATGCAGATGAGACAGGTGCGTAGCCAGGGGGGGGTGTTCAGGTGTCAGAACATCCCCATAAATTTTACATTATATATATATATATATATATATATATATATTCTTTTTTTTTGTGCGTGTGTGTGTGTGTGATTGCACCAGCACCTTGAAACACCCCCCGAAAATATTTTCTGCCTATGCCACTGCGATGAGATATGCATAAAAACGCCTCGTGTGGTTGGGCCTTCAGGCACCACATGGAGGGCTTGAGGGTGAGGCGTTGGTTGAGGCCAGGAAAATGCCATGGTTACCAGGGGTGACACAAATTTTGACTTTGCATAGAATAGTGCTGAGTGTCCAGTGCAGTTCACATAATTTAGGCCCTCTTCGCTCCGCAAAAGCTGGGTACAGCAAGCTGGTTCTCAATAAACCCTTTCCGGAATTGAGTGCCATCTGGTGACTCAAATGGCAGTTAATTTTTTACTGTACTAATGGCGGCAATGAGCCTGTGGTCTGCTGCATTTAATGGGGCACCGTCACTTTCACAAGTCAACGGTAAACGAGAATGTGCACTTCACTACAATTCTTTTTCAATCTCTTTTAGCGTCGATTGCAAAACAAATGCAGCCAGTCGGAACGAAGCGCCAAACTACATAGTCGCCTTGATAGAGTTCTATACATCAAGGGGCTTTGAAGCCGAGTGAGTGCTACTAACAGATTGACTGGGACAGAGTTAGAAATGAACGCTTAAGCAGCTCTTGCGTCCAACTCCTGCTTCACATCGTGCTAACATCTAGAATGTACAGGCCTCGAATCAGGAGCATCTTCAACTTCTTCCTTCATCAGGAAACAGAAGGCCGCCATTAGTATAGCACACATATGCCATTTTCAGATGATCATGATAGTGATCAAAGTGGCCAGAAAGAATTCTGGAAAGGGTCTATTAAAGCAGAGTTCCACGCTCACACCCGAGCCTTTCTCGGAATTTCACGAAACTTTGCAGAAGCTGTCAGGAATGGCCCTACAAACAACTGCAGAAGGTAGTCTCTCCTCGAGCTCCTCACCGCTCAAACTCAGGAATGGCAGAGCATGCCACATGCAGTCACCTGCTCAGCCAACTTTTGCAGCAAGGGCAGGCCTTGGTCCACGCTGCTCGCCTGGCCACTGGTCAGCAGACGGCAGCAGCCGAGAGCCACAATGTCTTCGAGGGCCTCCAGAGGCTTGGCCGCCAAGTCAAAGGCTATGTGCAGAGTCCCACTGAAAGCCCCACCACCTCCCAGGGGAAGAGCACTCACCTCGGTGGAAGGTGACAGGAAGGGGCTTGGCAGCAGCTGTGAAGAAAGAATACAGGCAGGAGTGCCACAGAATTATTTACTCAGAGATGCAACTGCCTTTGGCGGATTGTGGTCCGATTTGAATTCAGGCATGGAAGTCAACAAAACTTTTTTTTCCAAAGAGGGGGGGTGGGGGGAGGCAACTCTTTATTTTAGGTGGGAGCACATGCCTAGCAGTAGCAGACACAGCCGTCCACAATTTTTGGTGCTGCTTTTGTGGCGAGCAGCAGTCAGTAACAGTGAGAAGCCAAGGATATAGCCCAGCGTTTCAATTACAACCTGCTGCAATTACGTTTTGCCTTTGTTTACAACACAAATGCAACTGTATAATAACTGGTTCAAATTTTTGAGAGGGTATAATGAAAAAAACTTCATGGTCTACCAATAGACAAGCAATATAATTCTGGAAAAGGCTTATTGTGGGGCATGGGACTGGATCATGAACCCCCGAATCCCAAGGGGGTGCAGCTCCACTCTTTGCACCCTCTCAAGATACCCATGAAAGGTAGAAAGATTCTTCTTAAATTTACAAACTATTTATGGCACCACTTTGATCACACACACGGCACTTTTTATTCAAAGTTTTAAGCCAAAAAACTTTTTGACAAATACTCCTAAAAAAAGTTTGTAATATAATCGTTCACATCCTGTTGCGTTCTTTATGCCCATTTCGAGATATGACTGCCTTCTAACACATATCCCGTGTTCAGACAATTGACATTGTGCCATCAATCACGATTCCTAGTTTTAAGAAGATATATCAAACAGGAGAGGGAATTGACGCACCAATGAGGCGCTGGCAGATGTCTTTGTCGACGTCCCCATCTCTGAAATGACATGGACAAATGCAGTGTGTCTTGCTTTCCAACTTACCGGTGTCCACAACACACTCTGGCTTTGTCTTTTGTACTCCTGCTGCAGAACAGAGCAATCTAACCAGGGTCAAGGGGGGAGACCACTCTAAGAAAAGGGGAATTGCCTCTAAAAGTTTTACAATGCCACCCTGAAATACGGCATCTTGTGAACGGTCAATTTTCCACGGTGCTGAAGAGTGTGGCTGAGATGATGCTCTTGTGTCATCTCACCATTTACAGCATGCTGTTCCCCATCCCAATCGGTTAGAAAAGATCACGTGCCTGTACGCACATTGCTACAGGATCATTCCACACATGCTTGAACGGATGGGTGATTAATTCATAAAATCACCACCAGGTTGCCATGGTGAATCAAGACCCAAATGAAAATTACCATTGCTACTTCTGGCATTGTCTAGCACCTTTGTCTTGTTATTCTGGCATCTAAACCAATATAAATCATTCCAAAAAGGGCTTCTGTCCGGCAACTGCAATTCTGTGTGTCGATGCTTGCCTCATCCGCTCTACGAGGTGGCAATAGACCGATGCCACCAAACGAACTGCGCATGCGCGCGCATTCTGGAAGTGGTGCCGCCGCCATGCTACTTGTAGTCATCCCTTCCCGGCTTCCCGGCTACATACAGCTGCGCGTACGTACATCATCATAGATTATCATTTGGCACGCCCCGGTATCACCTTGATTCTCTTGCATGTTTTTACTTCATAAGATTGTGTTGTTTCTGATGCCTTACTTTCTTCAGCAAGTGCAGAAAAGCAGTTTCAGTCGTCTTATCGCTTTAGAATCGCGAATCGCCTTGTCGTCTGCTTCTTCGTCTTCGCGAACGCTCGAGCCCACTGCCGTTCACGCAATAAACCCACTGCGGCCGCGGGGAAAAAAAAACAAAAAACGGTGCCACTATTTCAGCATTTTGATTCCTAGGACGTCTCAATTACCTTGCAAACAAGTGAACATCTAGTGCAATAGCAAAGAACAACAAAATTCTGTGTGGCACCACGGAACAGCATCAAATGTGAGGAAAAACTGAGCTTGGTGGTGCTCAATCTTGTGCATAACGTTTAATGAGCCATCAAGTAAGAGGAGCTAAATAGAATTTCTCGGTGAGCAATAGTTTTCTAAAAGTTGTTTCATTCTGGTTGACAGCCTGTGCGACAGAGTACAGATGAACAGCGGGAGAAGCCTGCACACAAAGAACTGATCTACAAAAGGCCATGCCTGACGCGCCGTAATAATTGGCATCTATCAAAAAGAAGCAACCATGCCAGATACCTAAAAGCTTAGGGTGGAGATGATTTTTCGTGCACAGTTTCTATTCAGTTTTATTTTGTTTGGCAAGATCCGTACGCTAACAGTCGCCCGACGGGGGAAGCTTTTTTCTGCGGTCTAGACTGGTGCTAATGCAGAGTGGATCAGTAATACCAGCCTAATAGACCACCACAAAATGAATGAGGTTCGTTTGTTAGAGTTTTTGGCGGTAAGTATGTGTTGCACTTCTAAATTGCATCATGTAATCTTTTCACGTTTTTATGAAGAAAAAAAAAATGAAGCTTCCGAAAAGGTTGTTTTATTTCAAGTGGTGCATATCGGGAATCGCTGCTCTTTTTTAGTGATTGTCCCGATCTTTTGAAGCACAGTTGTGCTTGAAACATGTCGTCGCAATAACAGTTATAACCACCAAAATACACCGAGCAAGAAGTGTATTAAAAACGGCCTCCACAAAGCAATGCGGAGGTCCTATTTGAGATAGACCAATGAATAGACCGCTACGGATCAAATGGTCAGAGAGATTCCAGCTTATGGAACACTTCGGCACGCTCTATGTCTCGTGCCCTGTAATCTTATACATTTTAGCTGACGTGCAATAGGTTGGATATAAATTATGAAGCAAATCGCGAAACAAATCGTAAAACGCTATTTTTCCTGCTGCTCTGTCCGGCTCTGTTGACCTTTCTTTGCCATGCTTCTTTCTTTCGGGAATACATAATATCCGAGGCCTTTTTGCCTGGTGCTGTTATTATAGCTCAGTGGCATACAACATGTGAAGCCACCGATTGAAAACCATGAGTAAACACCTGGCTAAAAGTTTCGTGCTAACCTGAAAACTTCCAAACGATGAGCATTGACGCGGCCGGAAAACTGGGGAGAACAACAGGTACCAGGATGCACCGCGGCAGCGGTGGCGTCGCGCAACTCCTGGTGAAATCGGTCTATTGGCTCGTGCCACTGGACTGTTTTTGACAGATGCTTATGTCTCACATTCTGAAAAACCGAGGAATGGTCTACATACAGTATATGGCTCTAGCTCCATCTTCTCCTCCACCTGGTTGTCGCTATCTTTTTCTTTATCACTGTTTCCAACGGCGCATGTCAGCGGTCACTAACAGTAGTAATGTCCCAAAAACTTTTTATGAAGGCAAGAGGAACATAGCAACCAATGAGGGGTAGTAAATGTTCTTCAATATTTCAATCTCACTTCAACAACTGATGAAGAAGCCATCAAGCTGCACTAAATGCAATGAGTCAGGGGAGGAACATCACTTTGGAGACCGCCCCAAGTGACGAGAGAAGTTTGCCCCTGGGTAGGCCAAGCAGAGAACTAACACTCGCAACCTACAGAAGGAACCTACTGAATCACAAAACTGATAAAACACTGAGTGTGAAATGGCACACTCCACGTTTCCAGGGGAGGCCGCATTTCTGGTTCCGAACACTAACTGTCTCTCATATTCCACTCTGTTCCTTCCTCAGAATGTAAAGATTGGCTCTCCAAAACCCTATGGATGAGCAGACACCGTATTTGCTCGAGTAATAGCCAGTTCTTATGAACAAGGCTCTTACGTCTACTTGCCCGCAGACCACACATACAGCCAATCATTGCGTTCTGCAGAAGAAATGCAGCGAATAACGAGTTCGAGAACATGATTCTTCGTAAAAATGCAATCTGAGAAGATAGCATTTTTGTGAAGACACTATATCCCCGTCCCATAAATTGCTGCCATTTTTCTGCCAATGACGGTGATTCACTACCCCCGTGCTCCGTGGAAAAGCAGTCACAGGCTTCATTCGTAAACAGAGCGGCTGCTACTCGAGTAAATACAGTACCTAATCCTTCTCCACAAAAAGGCCTTCATCCATTCGAGCACATACGGCAGCTGGCTACCTGGTCAGTGCTCCCAGCACAATGCCGTCAGCCCCATGCTCCCGAAACAAGGTCACATCTTTTTCCATGAGGTCCACCTCGTCGCAGCTGTAGCAGAAGTCACCAGCACGTGGTCGCACCAACACAAACACGGGCAGCTTGACGAGAGCCTTGATGGTTACTAGAGTGCCTGCAAAGAATGAATTCCCTCCTTCATTGTATTATTCAGTTTCAGTTTTAAACTGACCTACCCAGGTGACTACTGGCCATTTTAGCATATTTTGACGAATACCGTATTCGCTCGACTATTCGCAAATCCAGCCCGCTGCTTGCCTGCTCGCGGACGAACAAAGAACCAAAAGAGCAGGGACGGCGGCGGATATGATGGCAGGGACTGTCGTCCTTGGTGCTGCTGTTACCGCATGGTTTTGGTCGGTGTGTTCATGCATTGTGCAGTTTTCACGGAAAAAGCGAGTGCGCTATAATAGGAATTGTTGCATTCCGCTTCACAACTTTTAAAATCTTTACGCTCTATTTCTCAATGCACGTCAACATCTCCGTTACCTGTCCCATCCCAACCATTTTGAATTTGTAGTCAAATAATTTAATTTTAGCGTACTCGTCAGCGTCGGCGAGCGGGTGTGCGGGAGAACTTGGAGAATCTATACCCGTCTCTTTCGCCATCTTGGAACTACCGCCCCGCCGTCTACAGGGCGTTGGAGTTGTGAATAGTCCACACCCGATATATAGTCTGCAAAAAAAAGTTTTCGCTGAAAAAAAAAAAAAATAATGAAAAAAAGTTTTTCCTTAGATAACCTACACTCTATCTATAGTCCAGGGCTGGGCAGAGATACTCTAAAACGTATTTGGGAATACAAATACTGAGATACATGTGTTGTAAGGCCAAAATACAGATACTGAGATACATTTGTCTTTTACGCAACGCGATATCCCCGAGATACTTCCACAATAACAGCAAAAATGTATTCCAGGATACTAGATACAGATACTCATGGAAATACATTTGTTCCCGAACGGTGCTACGTGGAGAGGGTGCAGTTTGTGGCGAATGCGAAAGGTAATTTATGCCTGTGCTCCTTTTTTGTGCCATTGTATCCACTACCCATTACCTCGAGCTCTTCATCTATCATTAATTCCGCTAAAAAAAACATGTCACTGCCGTTGAACCACATGGTTACAGAACAATAAAGACTGCGTACCATGCTTGATAAAAGGCGTCTGCCCGAACTGAACCCTGTTTTGCCGTCAGGGTGCATCTCAAACTGTCATATTATAAGCTTCCGAGTCATTCATAGCCATAGTGTAGGGAGATTGGACAACAGGGCCATACTTTTTCTTTGCTCAACTCCTTTACAGCATTCGCTCCGCTAAATTAGAAAGAGCGGAGGGCTTTGTGAGAGACGCTGATTTTGTTATTCTTGCAAGTAACCTTCTTTAAACCACAATTTTTTTATTGTTGGTGACTGAGATATATTATGTTACAGGGCAGGTTCATAATATAAATTCTGAAGCAAGTGGCACCAAACGGATGTTTTTATCCTTTAAATTTATCTTAAAAAGAACAACAAATGTAACGAAATGCCTAAGTCGGGCAAAGTATCGCGATACAAGCGATACATTGTAAATATATTTCACTATTGAGATACAGACACGTTTTACAAATGTATCTCGATACAGAGATACAGATACTCGAAAATACCTCTAAGATACTATTGTGATCCATTTGTATCGCGATACTGCCCAGCCCTGCCATAGTCCACACAGAATGCGGGGCATCCTGCTTCACATTGTTAGCGAATCCATCCAGCAACTCTTCAAACTTCAACAAACCCTGCCCTGTGACTTGCTTTATTTTGAGATTTCTTTTAGAGGTCCTGCAGATCTCCACATTGTCACACTCTTCAATGTCGATCTCCTTTCAGATATGTGATTCGCTTCAGCTCTTTCACATTCAGGTTGAAGGATGCCGCAAGCGCTTATCTTCATTTCGAGGTATCATGGCCGTAATTTCTGAAAGGGGGAACCACAGTTCCGAAATAGCTGCCCCACGTCCGTTGCAACGTTAGTCCATCGTGCGCCACCATCGCATCGTCTAGCCCACGGTACGTCGCCATATTGAGAATGACAAGTGCATGTACTTCCTGTGATCTGTGCAACAGTTTTTCCTAATGGAACAGAGCAAATTTTACAAGGACAGAGGAAGGAACTACACAGGACAAGCGCTAACAACTGAAAGGTTTATTATCAGGAAACCACAAAGAAAACATAGAACAACACGACTCTCTAATCACGATGGAAATGCGCATGCACCTCATAAAATTGGGTGTTATCTGTTACACAATTCTATGTGCATCATCCCCGATCTAAAAATTCTACCTCATATGTCCAGCAAATTCAAGGAAGCCTGACTCACGCAGGCTGGCCCCTCCTTCTTTATTCTATGAACTTCGACAATCTCTTGAGCTCTTTGGTCCCTGTGTTTATACAACGCAATAGCCTTGTCTAGTAACGGTGTACAGGCGCAGTCCCTGCAGTGTAACGCCAAGTGGGAGCTTGCTGTTCCTGTTAAAGAACTACGGTGTTCCCGCAGGCGAATGTTGAGGCACCGCCCCGTCTGTCCGATGTATACGTTCCCGCAGGTGAAGGGTATCTGGTATACAACACCCAATGTGCATGGCACAAACTCAAAGCGGTGTTTTATGCCGCACGGCCTCTCCCCGTTTTTCTCCTTGTTCACACGCTTTTCTACTGCACAGCAAATACCTCTTAACTTGTTACGTGCCGAGAAAACCACACCTACCCCGTACTTCGAAGCGGCTGTATTAAAGCCGTGTGACATGTGGTGCGCATAAGGGATGACTATGACCTGCCTTTTTACTTTTTTTTTGTTACTTTTCCACGCGCCTCACCCTTAATACTTTTCCCTATTGCTTCCACGGCCGAGGCGATTACCGAATCCGGGAAACCGGCGTCCTTTAGTCCCCGACCTCGACGGCAAGGCTTTCTCCCACTATGAAGGTATTATGAATACATACCAACTTGCCCAGTTATCCTGTTTGCTAAACATTTTTTTTTCTTTCTTTTTTTCTTTTTTTCAGCTAACATATTTGCAGTATTTTGGATGCTACAAAAATAGGGTTCATATTCTTTTCTTTTTTAATATTGAATCTGTGCCTTAGATGACTCATGACTAAATACATTTGGTACACATAGTTTGAATGCCACGTGACAATGGAAAAAAGAGTAAGCGTGACTGAAACCGGCCAATTCTCAACCAGTTCTTTTCGGGCGGAAAGAAAACGCATTTCGAGCCGCAAATTGTGTTCTGGGTAATATATTTCTGACAAGCGTGTTGGTAAAGTATACTTGGTAGTTGGCAAGATATACTTCGTATACTGGGTAGTTGGGCTCTTATAAACGCTTTGCAGCATCTGTGCATGGGTGCCATCATAACCGACCATCAATTTTTGTTTCCTCCTATTGCATTTACTTCACTTAATCATGACCACAGCAGGGCAGGTTATTGCAATTTTAGATTCCACTCTGTCTTTCTCCCCAGCAATGACCTTTGTGGAAGCTCGTCAATACCCGCTTTACTGGCTCAGCATCTGATAAGACGAGAGGAGGTCAGCAATGGCGGCAACAATCTGGCGCGTGTGCAAAGTGTCTATAGGTCATGTTCAAATAAAAACCTCGGCGAGTATAAATAACCTGTCAGCGTCCCTTTAATCTTTATCACCCGCAAAGGCATCGAGGGCAACACAATAACAGTTTGACCTTGTGTTGCTGAATAATGCCCAGCGTGAGACAGCGTGACCTCAACAAGTGCACTGGGCCTGTCTAGTAATAATGAATGAGTTTAAAAAAAAGCAATGTTTGCATAGTTCGCATCTGCAGATAGTTCATATAGAATATAAACTTCTAAAGATGTATGGCCCGTGGCCTATAGTTCAGAAAATATGGTAATCTGCTGAAAGAAGGATGTCTTACAACATATAACTGGGTCATAAGTAGGATTGCATGTTTTCGCTAAATACCAAAAAACCCCGACAAATAACTCCCGGCCCAGTTTTATCAAAATCAGGGAAAAACGAAAAACCCAGAATTGAAGCTGTGCTTCAATTAAAAAAAAACCAAGCTCTCAGACGTATAAGACAAAAATCAAGCTTCAACCCCACAAAACTTTCCATAAGGCTGTTTTTTTGTGTTTTTTTTTTTTTGCTTTTTTTGGGGAACCAGACTTCTTATCTTGTTTAATTTTTTTACTTACACAGGGACGTTTCCCAAGTATTTGGGTCGCACGCATGTTCCTTAGAGGTTTAGGAAATCCATTCCCGTGCCCTATTTTCTTCAACACAAGCCCCGATATCCACCAATAATTAGTCAGGCACCAAACGCCTATAAAACACCCCCCAAATTGCAATAAAAAAAGTTAAAAAAAGAAACACGGAACCTTAGTTATAACTAAAGGCAATGAAAATGGTTGTGTGAAAGACTTAATTTAGTCACAAATATTGGAGGGCTGAAATGTGCCTTGATTCACATTTATTGTGCTTGTAGGCACTTTCACAATTCTCAGCTGGCTGATAGTGGCTGTGGAACTTTTAGAAAGCAAACGTCACTTCTACACATGCAGCTGAAAGGTGTGCTGAAAAGTTATCACATCTTCACATGTTCCCCCAATGCTGGCTATGCATGGGGCCAAATTCTCTGAAAATTTCCACAATTTTGCAGGTTTGTGAACCCCAACAATTCCAAGCTTTCTTCAATTTCCATGGTGGTAGACATCTCGTCAGACATTCGAGCAAAAGCTCCGAAAGAAATGCCCTGTAGCCCCAGACCACCCAAGATGTCAGCAAGCACTCTCAGAGGGAAGAATAACAAAATATAATGTTAAAAAATGCAAGATATAAGGCAACAAAACAAACAAACCAAACACTCACGTCATCAAGCAGCATGGTACAAATTTCAATTTCGATTAAACTAATCGGAACATGTAGCAGAGTAAGGAATGTCGTGCAACACCACAAAATATGCAACTCCATTTACTCCACACTACAAAGTTGCGCATCAGAGCGAATATTAAAACATTAAAGCTTCGTCGCTACAATGTTTTGGCCAGAGCCCCTTTTCCCAAATGTTGCATCGAACAAACCCTTTATTGTTGCTCTCATTCAAACTTCTTTCTGATAACTATTGCATCCCCAAGAAAAAGGTGTTCCCCAGAAGGTAGCTGCTTACCTAAGCTAGGCGAGAGACCCCCCAGTGCCAAGCCTGCACACAGCTCCAGTCTAGAAGCTCCTGCATAAGAGAGCCCATGCTGACAATGACACAGGTAACAAGGTATGCCGCTCACCCCCAGCAGCAGCATTGCGGGCTGAACCCACGCCATCGACGCAGATCTCCACCTGAAAGAGACTCCGTACTTGAGGAAACTGCACAAGCAAGCCACGGGTTATCACTTAACTCACCTCCACTTGCGGACACTGCATGGCCTGCGGCATAAAAACGGAAGCACCACTTTGAGGCCCACACGATTTTCATGCTAACAACACAAATTTAAAATGCGACATGTGTGAAACATCTTGTGTGCAGCATTATAAAGCAAGCAGCTGTAGCGGAAGCTCGTGCTGCAAAACCGAGGAATCCTGGGTTCAATAACCTTTTGCAAAATAGTTGGAACACAAAGAATGCTTGGTTCCTAGGTAGTCGTGCTGCATGTCGTGGCGTCTGCAGAAGAAACTTGTCAAAGCGAAAATCTCAAACAATTGGCATTTTACGCATGCATTTGTCACCGCCTTATTTGAGTAAGTTACCCCAAATATTTTTTACAAACAAGGTGAGATTATGTATTTACATACCCAGCATGCGGCTAGTGTTCTGATTACTTATCAAAAGATTTGTCCCTAACAGAACCGATGAGCATGCTGGTTTAAGTGAAAGTACACAGAAAATAATGAACACACAAAACAAGGGATAAAACAAACTAACAAAAAAGACATCTTTCACCCTTTCAAAAAGTGAAAGGTTCATTCCCAAAACCGATAAACATTTTGGTGGAAGTCTGGGAAAAAAGAAAGCATAAACACATAAAACAAGGTGCAACACAGGCTAATTTTTTTATTTTATTTGTTTGGTCCCATAGTTGTTATAATGTTTGCAAGAGGTTCAACTGGCACTAGTGTCTATGTGACTTCCAGGATGCAAATTGAAGTAGACAGCAACCAGTTTACGTTTGTGGCACTCCTGTGCATTCCTATGAAAAACGTGCATGCATTTTGTCTCTTTGCCGGAAAATAACATACTTTTGTTATTTGGGTCGTACCGAATAGTATTTACCTTTAATGACATTGTCAAAGTGTAGTTGGCTTAGTTCTTATTTTACCAGTGAACGCTGTTAAACATTGCTATATTTAAGGACCAAACCTCTGTTCCATAGCAGGTGCGTAAAAACAAGCAATGATTTGAAGCAAAATAGCAGTCGAAAGTAATGTAGAGCGTGTTCAAGGTTCGCCGGCATTCCAGTGGTGCTAACATATTGCTAATATGCCTGCCTTGTCACTATATAAAATGATCCCATCGTGTATCTTTACGAGCAGTTAAAAACATTCAAAACATAAAGAATAAAGTATATGGGCTATGAAAGATGAGTCTTTTTATTATTCCCTATGTCAGGCAGCTAGCTTTTATCGGGCACCTGCTGTCTGGCTTCCCCCTATTTTCAAAGATTTCGAGTGTCTTCTCATATATTCAGAGTAGAAAAAATAAAGCAGTAGTTATTTATTGCAAATAGGACTATATTACGTGACCTTCAATTTATTTTGATTGTCTAGATGCACAGGGAGTTACTGCTTCAGTGTTACTGCATAGTTCTTGTTGTCTCTCTTGGTTCTTCACATGTCCTTGGTTTGTTTGGCACGTATATCCCCCATGCTGGAAGGCGCCGATGCAGTGTTCGCGCTAACAATGTCCGACAGTGCACATAAAACGTGTATGAAGCCGTTTTCGCAGAGTTTTTAATGCCACGAATTTGAAATAAAAACGCCATAACTGACCAATTATTTCGTCTGCGTGACTGGGAAATGGTTCAATCTACCCAGTACATACAAATTATTTGTGACATTTGCTATTATAATCCAACGCAGGGAGAAAATGCACTCGTTTTTTCCCATAGGAATGGATTACTGGAAGTCAATTTCTGAATGGTCGCTGTCTACTTCTTGCCAAGGAGTTGCAGCGACGTCAGAAAGACGCAGAGCTCTGATCGACTTTGAATGAAAGGAGTGGGTACTGGGTACACCTGAATGCTAGATGTCTCGAGCTCTACCCACTACTTATTTCAGCAGACCTGAATGCTAGATGTCTCGAGCTCTACCCACTACTTTTTTCTATCAGCCAATAAGAGCTCGGCATTCTGATGTCACCGCAACCTCTTTGCAAGAATCAGACCAACTTGCGTTCCGCATTAGCCACAGTACACTAGCGCCAGTTGAACCTCTTCGTTCGCTCGATTTACCTACACCTCCTGCACTGGTGCCAAACTGGTGCAGAAAAGTGTAGGGCGGTGTACTTCCGCTCACATCTCAATAAACATACCGGAAGTACACCCTTCACTTTTCTGCTCCGGTGCAGAGGGGATCGGTGGCTGAGTGGGCTAGCGCACACGAGCTCAGGGCACGTGGAGCGAAAGCTCGCACTGCAGAACCCAGGGGTCCTGGGTTCAATCCCCACCCCTGCCCGTTTTGATCTGGATGAGCATCGTACCGGCGTGCGGTTGCGTATCACTACCGCGTGGTGCAAGTTAAAAACCCCAGGCTAGCAGTTGTACTGCACTGGCTAAATTTCTCATCTACAACGAGCGACTCGTCACAACTTTGAAATGGCTGACCAACTACACGCTGTCTAAATATCCACACAACCCCAATTATTATTATTATCGCCATGGGAATATCAATCGAGGGGGCAAGGGCTTGCCCCCCCCCCCCCCCCCCCCCAGTTCTCAGGATGGTGGGCAAGGCATGTGTTTTGCCCCGCCCGCCCCCCCCCCCCCCCCCTTGAAACAGCCGCCACTAGGCAGGGCAAACACTGGACGGCGGCGCCCAAGGGATACTAAGGGCACGGCCCCCCGGCCCTGGGGGGGGGGAGGGGTTTAATTTGCTCCCCCCCCCCCCCCCCCCCCCAACTCAAAAACAAATTGGTACGCCACTGATTATCGCACCGGTGTAGGAGGTGCTAGTAAATCTAACGAGGCTAGTTCGCGCGCCCTACGAGTACGTCGCAAGAGCAGATAGGCCGAAAGCCCGTAGCAGAAAAGCCTGCAAAATATTAAGTATGTGCTTGAGTCCTTCCTTGTTTTACGCGTTTATTCCTTTTATTTAATGTGCCTGTCCTCACACCTGCTTGCTGTTTGGACGAGCCCTCATGAACGAAAAGCGCTCTCTACAGCGCCGCACAGAATTTCGGAAGCAGAGTTGGAAAGGGATTATGGAACTTATCTCGCAGCTAGGCGATACAAATTTTATGAAACTGCGAACACGCTATAATTCACGCCATGGCAGCAACAGATGTTACCGCTGAGCAGAAAAATGGTAAGGTCACACGAAATATGAAGTAAGGTTCTTTCGATTGTCCCGCCTCCGCTCCGAGCTCGCTCTGGCCATGCTTCGACGCGACTAACGATCGCAGTCACGCACGAGCAGCCGAAAAGCGTCATCAAGAACGAGCTTGCACCCCAAAACTGCCCGTGAGATAGAAGTTAAAAACCAGCGTGAAATTGACAAACCCAGTTGAAACTGCGGAACGAAACTGACGACGCATAAGCGCTGCTGCCGGTGGCGACGCTATGCACAGCGCCGCTGATGGTGGCGACGCTAATGTCAGCGCCGCGAAACTGGGACTGTGACCGGGGGTTGCTCCGACTGCACCGACAATGAACTACGTACAAAAACAAAATGACGCCATAGCGGAAGCGGAAGTGATAATAGGCAAAGGGCCGCGAAAAGCACAAACCGAAACAGATATGCTCGGAGAAGCGTCAGAAGCACTGCGAGCGTCTGATTCACCCATGTGTCATTTGATCGAGTATGCCCCTTTAATAATGCTCTTTACACCTGTAATCGCTCGAGTCCTTTTAACTGGTTTCATGCGGGGCTTGCTCGGTATTTACTTGCCGACTTTTAGTCAGTTTCTCTCGACTATCAGACGAGGCGATCGCGGTGTCGACCATAGCAGCTTGCCTTTCCTATCTTTGCGCGAACGCTTACCTTTTGACTCAGCTAGTCAAAATATTGTTAAATAGTTTGACCAGCAAAATGTAATGCTGAAAATTAATTCACCAAACAAACAAACAATGCAGCCTCATCTTCACCGAGAAGACGCCAGATGCTTGAATCGGTCAGGATGGACAAACTTAAAGGTCAAATAAAGAGCGCCAAAAAACGAAAGACAATAGGGTGTATTCACTGGCGGTCATAGCTGAGCTCGCTGCTGCTTTCTTACCACCGGGGAAGAGAGAGGGGAAAGATGCTTTTGTACGAGTTTTGAGTGGCAAGTTAATCTTCTAGAGGCAGAATAGCGACGTTTGTGGAGGCCTGGGACCTACAAAGGTGAGTCCAGGTGATAAGAGAATTTCTCCTTTCCCTCTTCTCTTGCGGTTGCCCGAGAGCTGACGGGAAACTCTTCCCGGGCATGCGCTGTGAGCAGTTATCTCAAATATGGCGTCCAGTGAATACCACCTATATGAAGTATAAAGCGCTAATGCGCTTCATACTTCATTTTGTCTTTCGGTTTTACTTCATCACAACAAGCAGCAGCAACTCGCCGAACTTTCCGCCGTTACTGCTCTTGGCGAGAAGTTTGTAGTCTACAGGAAGAGCGATAAACTACAGAACCAAGTTTACCAAGACAAATGCCATAACCAATATACTTGCCCATGTGTAGACCCAATCAACCTTTTCCCGAAATGCGGGTACGAGATAATGAATTTAGTACCCTCCCTCTACAACAAGCCATGAAGTTTGGCTAGTTATTGTATTATGAAAACTTTAAAACAGCACAAAATAAGCAAACGAACACTCCGCTAACTGGCAACTGAAATTTATTCCTCCAAGGAACAGAAAGGAAAACATAAAAGCAAGGTAGATAAAGAAATAATCTGCCCCCTTGAGCCACGCCTGCAAACATTTAAATAAATTTGGCGAATTTCTGGATAAAAGCAACTTCGTCATTCGCCAAAGCCACGGACGGGGCACTCACACACGTGTCCGCTCTGTAGGTAGCAATAAAAAACGCCTCGTCAATTTCTCTTGTCACTTATTGCGGCGAAGAGTCAGAATCTGAATTTCCGTGAAAACCAGAGAACACATACACCTATCACAGTCAACTGCAAGGTGTCCCTCTTCCTGGTGGCCACGCAGAGGGGGAAGATGGCTTCTTTGTATCAACCTTGGGGTCAATGAAAATTCACATTGGGCGCAAAAGCGATCTTTGGGGGAGCCATATCTAGGTCACAATATCTGAATGAGCTAACAGGATGTAGCTGATGTTTTTGGGGTCGGATCAGAGATGCTTGAGTGTGTGTTGCTTTCTAGCCACCCAATCTAAACTCTGTTGTGCACCTAGGTGGCAGCAGATCTCTTAGACAAAAAGCTGCTAAAGAGCAGCCTGATGGGGTCTTAGAGTTGACAAACACTAGTTCAGAAACACATCTCCCTTTGCTAGCCCTTTATTAGTCAACATAATATTCATGCCTAGCAATTGCACAACCCACCAGCTGCAAATTAGTGAACAAAAGGTTAGGGTGCAAACGAGCTGGTGATCGAGTTGAGACTCTGTTTGTCCGTCCCTTCTCGTCCCAGTCTTGGGTTTCATGTTTAACCACCAGCTGCATTCCAAATGGCTTTGCCAGCAACCATCAGCCTACAGAACTGCTTCTGCAAGGAACAAAACAGCAAGGTCAAAGTGCCAGCAACCAAACCGGTGTCAGCAAGGATTTGATTTTGGAGTTAAACAATGTAGGTATGATGGCATCACATAAAAGAAAAATTTGTGAGGCACAGGAACAAAACCCATCCCTTCTCAGCATGCCAATGCCAGCCCTAAATAATATCATTTGGGCTTTCACTTGATCTCTGCAAGGAAAGAGGGCAGCTGTGTCAAGAATTCACCTCCCTTAAAATGCAATACAGTGGAACCCCATTATACAAGTCGAATAATCTGAATAACACCAAAAATAATGACTGCGACTTTGGTGCTTTGCCCCACAGAACAAGAATACATGGAACTTCCAAAATGAAATGAATATCAAAGTGTGGTGCGGTAAAGGCGGTGATAACATTTTCACCGTTCCTCATTCTCAGAAAAGTGAGCAATGCCATCGTGTGTGTAGGCAGACGGTTATATGCAACATGTCTGCAAATATCAGCATGCGCAGCTTGGCACCTGGAACAAGTGTCATTTGGGTAGTTCACTTTTTAACGGCTTCGAGTGACACTGCATCGTGTAAAACAATGCTGTCATTGATGTTCGTCGTGGTCCACAAGGTGCGATGAGTTCTATATAAAGATGCCACAAATTTTTTTAGAACACGAGGCTTGAAGATTGAACAAAGAGTTTCAAAAGTTCAAAAATGTTTCAAGCTTTTTACGTTATAAAATTCAACATTTTTTTAACCAGATTTTTTTGTGCTATAAATTTAAATTATTTTCAAACTTCTGAATTTGCCACACTACGAAATTCTACAATTTTCATCATGCTAAAAAATTAATAATTTTCTAATGTTGAAACCTGCAGGCTTCAAAAGTTTAACAAAGATCAAACTTACAATAAAAAAAAAAGTTTGAATTAACTTTAAAGGGCAACTCCGCTCAATTCTGAAGATTTCGGGATAATGAGTGATTTCACATTAAAAAGCCCTACTAAAAGACACTACGTTGTTTGCTTCGCGAAAAATGGGATATATATTTTTAAATCTAATTTTAAACACAAGCGGAAATTGAAACCAAAACTTCGGCTCCGTTTGGAAACATTGGCCTCGGGCTGCCAACTACATAGCCATCACGTGGTATGAGATGTCATGTGATCCTCGGCCCAACGACAGGCGGGATTGGGGCGGGCGTGTGGCAGGCGCGAGTGTCGTCTGCACCGCACTCTTTGCCACGTTTTGGTGTCTACGGCATTCGACGACGTCTGCACAACTGCAGCATATACCTGCGCACGTGGTGTCCGTAAAGTGGGCGAAACTCCCGAGACAATAATCACAAACGGTGAGACGACGACGACGGTGGTTGTGATGTGGAAGACGGCGGTAACGGCGGGACCACAGCGGGGGGCTGGACAGCTCCCAAGAAGCGTGCTGTGCAGGTGCGTTACGCCAATCACGTGGACACCTCTGAGCGCCGAGAGGCAACGTTGCTGACATCATGCGCTACGCTTGCCCAAAGAAGTAAAAACAAGCAAAAGGGCGCCATGATGATGACGTTTAGCTCAATGTTGGCTCCGCCCATGCCGTAGCCTTGACTGCGCTGTTGGTTGCGCCTGAATTCGCCTGCTCGAGTCAGCCGATTTCGGCAACTTGGCGAGTTGCAAAGTTTGCCGGACCGTTTAAGAAACATTTAGACAGAACTGCGTCGTAATATTTGACGTGTGGTCTTCCTAGGCGATACTGAAGAGGACTGCATTGTTTTTTCAAAACGAAAATTGAAGCGGAGTTGCCTTTTAACCCAAAGGTTCAAAGGTTTAGGTGAAAAATATAAACAATACAAAGATATGAATTGCAGGGTTCCTACAGATTTCAAAGAATTAAATTTCATGGCCCCGTTGGAGTATTTTCAATTACTTAACCCGATACTGCATGCAGCAATTTGCAACAAAACACCACTGTCAAACGATTGCAGGTATAATTTCTATTGAACTAAGCAACAACAAAAAAAAATTTCTTGCAAAATTGCTTGCATTGCATTAAGCCAAAAAAACAATTTAGTTTGTAAAACCCCTTGTGGTAACTTCAGGGGAGCTCCTGCAGCTTTTCTTGTATTTGCTGGCTGATGCTAAGTAGCTCCTCGGTCTTGCTTTTTGCAATTTTCTTCGGGCTATTTGACTTCACAATGTATGTGAGGATATTTTCTTTTTCTGCATTTTCAGCATAGGCATCAGCTGAAGCTGTGAGATCAGCTATTGTTTGCTTCAAGTTTTCTTCTTATTTTTCATGGTGTCAATCTCTTCATCAATGCTGCGGTCAAAATGCATGGGAATTTTCCCACTAGATTATGTATTAACTTAATGTCGGACTCGGGCCTCATACCAGAGATCCTTTCCTCCTCTTTTTGCAGGGAGCCACCTCTTTGCCCCGATGGAACCAGTGGGCCAACAGATCCCTGGTCTGCAGGTTTGAAATCCGACCGAAGCGCTTTGCTGGGGCATTGTTCATAACCTTTGCTGTTTCCGAACGCAAGTCTCCCAATTTCCTTTTGCAAGCAACAGCGAACGCTGGATCAGCACTTGCCTCCATTATCGTGAGTAGCTAGTTGCATTTTAGAAAGGACAACATTTCCACTTATTTTATTATTTACCGAATAAGTGTGAGAAACTGGCAGTGTGGTGGGCTCGAGGCACGACCGGTCGTGACCTCATCACCTGTACCGGCCCCCTGAGTTTAGCCTGGTTGCATGTCAGTCGGCTTTTAGCTGCGATGAATGTTCTGTCCGAGTCCCTCTGTCCAGGATTTTCCCTTTCCCGGTCATGCGATTGATCTTAGTCGTTCTGGAGCACCTTTAAGAGCAGTGCAACATACTTCTGAAGCAAAAGCACACAGTTTATTTTCACTCACACCAGTGCAAATATTATGTTAAGATTTATGTGCTTGTATCTACTTTGCCATCCTGCTTCTCTGCAACCTTTTGACCGACACTTTAATTGCACGTAGAAGCACAAGTCACGGCAACAAGCTTCTGATTGATGAAGGGCAGTACAAACTGCTGTGTATGCAATATTTTTTATACAAAATAAAGCATACACCAAATAGTATATTTCTCTGAAATAATGTTAGATTATAATAAATTCAAGCACCAAAATTGATGTTTTTTTGTTGTTTTGTTTTTAAGTTCTAAAGGTTGTAACTAAACTGCATTTCTTAATTTAGAGAGAAAAAGTTTTTATCATTTGATTATAAACGTCAATTACATCTTATAATCAGGACTTTACGATAACAAAAATCAGCATGGGAACAATAAATACGCTTTAAAAGCACAACAAAAACATTAAGATAACAACTAAATGAGATGACATAAAAAAATAAACACCAGAGCAATCCCCAAAAGTTTCACCACAACACTCAAATATCCTTGATAAATCTTGAATGTGAAAGAGATTTAATCAGAACCCCCCCCCCCCATTGTAGTCTACCGTATATACTACTAGCCACAATCATATCCGGAAACTGTGTGTAACGTCCCGTTCTGGAGGAGTGCTTTTCCCTCAGAACGCTGTTGGCTGTGGCGAAGCAAGAAATGCAAAATTGCAACGCTTACTATGCTGCTGTTGCTTCACTTCAAGTACACCACTGGAAGGTGATAAGCACACTCAACGATGCTAGCGATCCAGTCAGAACAGACAAACATGAGAAATATTGCAAAACTTGCTACTACTGAGTTTGATATAAAGATAAAATCAAATATAATGTTATTTTAGGCAATAACCAAAAGTTTTGGGAATTCGCACGAGCCTACATTCACGATTTAAGCATGTAGCAGCGAATGATTTACAGTAAAACCTCATTATAACAAGGTTGAAGGAGCGGTCATAATTATTTCGTTATAACCATTAGTTTGTTATAGCCACTGTCCATTTCTTTCCACTATGAGCAAGCAAGGGGAATTATGATTGCTTTGTTATATCCATTAGTTTGTTATATCCCATCTTGTTATAACGAGGTTTTATTGTATTAAATTTTTAGTAATAATAAATGCAAAACAAGTTTTGGAGCAATATTGGTGCAAATTCCTTACATTTTGGCAAAATGTAGCAGGGTAAGCGCCTTTGGCGCAGCAATCACACCACTGTCTTCACATGGGCCACTTTGTAAGAAATAAATGGAGAGAAACAAACCTCTCGGTATGCAGAATGTTGTGTCTGGGTGCCTTTATGTGCACATATCGTCTTGTATCTTTTGTTGTTTCATGCCAGCATCATATTTACGTGGTGTTGAATCGGATTGCCGTCAGTTTACAAAAAGGTATACGAAGGGCATTCACCGGACTGCTTCAAGAATTTTCACTGAACTTTTAAATCAGTTCAATGCTTGTTTCATGAGCTGCAATAAATAATGATAGTACTGGTAGTATCCTAAGTACCAAAGTGCTGAGAAGGAAGGAGTCCTCATGGTATAAAAGAAATGTGGAAGATTTTAGTGATATTTGCAATACTTTCCGCAACTTTTCGAGGTGAATCCGTGCAAACTTTATTCAAAACTGCAGAGTTCGACCTCCATGCGCGAGATTAGAAGAATTCAAACTTAAAAATGTAAGTCTTCCAAAATTTCTGACATGATTTGTAAAAAGAAAAATATGAACCGTAACTTTCAGGAACTGACATATTCAAACTTTTCAAATTCCAACCTTAGTATGGTTCAAAAGCTGCAAGCTTTTCTTATACATACCTTGGGGAGGTTAAAAATTTCCTAAACGGTTCTTAATTTAAAACTTGGGAGGCTCGCGGCATTCTTAGTTCCAAACATTGCCGGCACTGCGGCGATCGTGATAGTGCCGTGATGCCTCTTCTCTCTTTACATCGGTGGCGTGCATTTGCGGCTTTCGCCGGCATGTAATGTGCGAACCTATCACTTTGCACTCATGTCCACGTGGGCATGGCATGTCGTTATTCATGAGCGTGAGAACAGCAGAGCACGTGGAAATCAAAAATGGAGAACATGACGCTATCTGCCGTCCTTTTCGGCTTTCGAAAGCACGTGGCAATTGCTGCCTCACAGCCCGGCAGCATGTTGTCAAAGAAAGGGAAAAGAAGAGAGGGGAGCACGAAAGCAAAGGAAGGCGTGATCGAAAGGAGGCAAGGGGGCGAAAACCAAAACCAAAAGCAACACCGCCAGCAAAGGAGACAACAAAGAGACAAAGAACAGCCCCTCAGGGCGGGAAAAAATAGGGAGAAGGCAACTGCGAGAGAAGTGCAGTTTCATTTTTTCGCAATGTTAAATCTGCACTTGTAACTTCCAAGACATCGTTTCTACAGGGAGTTCGGTGGATCCGCACCCGGCAAACTTCCTCGAATTGCATAACGGATGTCCCACTGTAAACCCTTTTTGAAATTTAGTGCCCTCCAGTGGCTCAACTATCACTAACATTTGTCATCATAATGGCGGCAAAAATGCAGTAGATTAAAATAAACATCTACTGCAGTTTATTTTTTTTTTAATTTTTATGATGACAAAGTTACCAGCCCGTACAAAGCACTGGCAGACAATGTATATATGTAAGTATCACAGAAAAGGAACAATCATAAGGCACAAGAACAAAACTCACTTCAGACCACTTCAAAGGTGTGTTCTTTGCCTAAGCAGGCGGCGAAACGAGTCGCGATATCGCGGTGTCAGCTCTGTGGGTATTGCTTCTCCGTAATACACCGGTGCTTGAGGATAAGCTCACTTAAATGGGCTAACCCACCATGATCAACACTTCGAAAAGTACAAATATCTCAATTAATTTTGAAGAGAATATCAAATGTATTATTTGAAACAACTATTTAAAAATTCGAATACTGATGCAACCCCACTTTTTGCACATAGTAATTAGGCATCTAAAGAAAAGAAGAAAAAAAACTACTTTTTTTATTTTTAGTGGCATCGACAACAATGCCACGTGCCAGACACTTTCAGTTTCCTTTTCGAGAACAACTCCCTTTTGGCACAGAAATGGCACAAGTTGTGCACAAATACAGCCCTTGGAGCAGCAGGTAGCAGGTTGTTCATTCTAGCAGTTTGGCTCAAATGGTGCAGCTGTCCCACCACTGCATGTAGCACTCCTATGAACTGCCCTCAAAGCTGCTGGAATCACATATTGTTTTCTCTTATTATCGATACGGGGACGTTTTCCCAGTAATCGGCCCATGTGCATGTTCCTTGAAGGTTGGGGAATTCCATGTCCGTGCACTATTTTTTTTAACATAAACCCGATAATCTCAGATTTTTTGTCGGACACCAAAACTTTATACCAAAAAGCACCAAACACAAAAGAAAAAAAGAAAACCCCAAAGACACTCAAATTTGAGCAAAAATAAACACCAAAAACATGGAACCCTAATTGTAAGGCACAAGAACAAAACTTACTGGTTTTTGGACCATGAATGTTGCCTTTATTAATCATGTCATTATTCCGGTTTCACCTCAGATTGACTCTGCAAAAAGAGAAAGGACAGCCACATAAAAGATTTTGCAAGCAAATTTAACTCTCTTCACATAGAATTGTTAAGACATTATCAGTAAAGATTTGATATCACAGCTGATCAAACAATGTAGGTATGAGAGCATCACAGAAAAGGAACGATCATAAGGCACAAGAACGAAACTCACTGCTTTTTGGAAGATGAATGTTGCCTCTAAGCAGGTAATCATTTCAGACATATTGAGCTCTGTAAAGAGAGGACGCCATCAAAGATTTTGCATGGAAACTCAACTGTTCTTACAAAAATTTCAAACATTATCAATAAAGATTTTATATCACAGCTGATCAAAACAATGTAGGTATAAGAGCATCACAGAAAAGGAACGATCATAAGGCACAAGAACAAAACTCACTGCTTTCTGGAAGATGAGTGTTGCCTCTGAGCATGTCATCATTTCGGACAGATCGAGCTCTGCAAAGAGAGAGGACGGCATCAAAGATTTTGCATGCAAACTCAACTCTTACAAAAAATTTCAGACAACATTATCAGTAAAGATTTGATATCACAGCTGATCAAACAATGTAGGTATGAGAGCATCACAGAAAAGAAAAGATCATAAGGCACAAGAACAAAACTCACTGCATTTTGAAAGATGAATGTCGCCTCTGAGCATGTCATCATTTCGGACAGATTGAGCTCTGCAAAGAGAGAGGACGGCATCAAAGATTTTGCATGCAAACTCAACTCTTACAAAAATTTCAGACATTATCACTAAAGATTTGATAACCCAGCTGATCAAACAATTTAGGTATGAGAGCATCACAAAAAAGGAACGATCATAAGGCACAAGAACAAAACTCGCTGCATTTTGGAAGATGACTGTTGCCTCTGAGCATGTCATCATTTCGGACAGATCGAGCTCTGCAAAGAGAGAGGACGGCATCAAAGATTTTGCATGCAAACTCAACTCTTACAAAATTGTTCAGACAACATTATCAGTAAAGATTTGATATCACAGCTGATCAAACAATGTAGGTATGAGAGCATCACAGAAAAGAAACGATCCTAAGACACGAGAACAGAACTCACTGCATTTTGAAAGATGAATGTTGCCTCTGAGCATGTCATCATTTCGGACAGATTGAGCTCTGCAAAGCGAGAGGACGGCATCAAAGATTTTGCATGCAAACTCAACTCTTACAAAAATTTCAGACAACATTATCAGTAAAGATTTGATATCACAGCTGATCAAACAATGTAGGTATGAGAGCATCACAGAAAAGAAACGATCATAAGGCACAAGAACAAAACTCACTGCATTTTGGAAGATGAATGTCGCCTCTGAGCATGTCATCATTTCAGACAGATTGAGCTCTGCAAAGAGAGAGGACTTCATCAAAGATTTTGCATGCAAACTCAACTCTTACAAAAAATTTCAGACATTATCAGTAAAGATTTGATATCACAGCTGATCAAACAATGTAGGTATGAGAGCATCACAGAAAAGAAACGATTATAAGGCACAAGAACAAAACTCACTGCATTTTGGAAGATGAAATGTCGCCTCTGAGCATGTCGCCATTTCAGTTTTCTCCTCAGATTAACCTCTGCAAAGAGAAAGGACAGCCTATTAAATATTTTGCAAGCAAACTCAACTCCTTTTGCACAAAATTGTTCAGACAACATTATCAGTAAAGATTTGATATCACAGCTGATCAAACAATGTAGGTATGAGAGCATCACAGAAAAGAAACGATCATAAGGCACAAGAACAAAACTCACTGCATTTTGAAAGATGAATGTCGCCTCTGAGCATGTCATCATTTCGGACAGATTGAGCTCCGCAAAGAGAGAGGACTTCATCAGAGATTTTGCATGCAAACTCAACTCTTACAAAAAATTTCAGACATTATCAGTAAAGATTTGATATCACAGCTGATCAAACAATGTAGGTATGAGAGCATCACAGAAAAGAAACGATCATAAGACACAAGAACAGAACTCACTGCATTTTGAAAGATGAATGTTGCCTCTGAGCATGTCATCATTTCGGACAGATTGAGCTCTGCAAAGAGAGGACGGCATCAAAGATTTTGCATGCAAACTCAACTCTTACAAAAATTTCAGACAACATTATCAGTAAAGATTTGATATCACAGCTGATCAAACAATGTAGGTATGAGAGCATCACAGAAAAGAAACGATCATAAGGCAAAAGAACAAAACTCACTGCATTTTGGAAGATGAATGTCGCCTCTGAGCATGTCGTCATTTCAGTTTTCTCCTCAGATTAACCTCTGCAAAGAGAAAGGACAGCCTATTAAATATTTTGCAAGCAAACTCAACTCCTTTCGCACAAAATTGTTCAGACAACATTATCAGTAAAGATTTGATATCACAGCTGATCAAACAATGTAGGTATGAGAGCATCACAGAAAAGAAACGATCATAAGGCACAAGAACCAAACTCACTGCATTTTGGAAGATGAATGTCGCCTCTGAGCATGTCATCATTTCGGACAGATTGAGCTCTGCAAAGAGAGAGGACTTCATCAAAGATTTTGCATGCAAACTCAACTCTTACAAAAAATTTCAGACATTATCAGTAAAGATTTGATATCACAGCTGATCAAACAATGTAAGAGCATCACAGAAAAGAAACGATCATAAGGCACAAGAACAAAACTCACTGCATTTTGGAAGATGAAATGTCGCCTCTGAGCATGTCGCCATTTCAGTTTTCTCCTCAGATTAACCTCTGCAAAGAGAAAGGACAGCCTATTAAATATTTTGCAAGCAAACTCAACTCCTTTCGCACAAAATTGTTCAGACAACATTATCAGTAAAGATTTGATATCACAGCTGATCAAACAATGTAGGTATGAGAGCATCACAGAAAAGAAACGATCATAAGGCACAAGAACAAAACTCACTGCATTTTGAAAGATGAATGTCGCCTCTGAGCATGTCATCATTTCGGACAGATTGAGCTCTGCAAAGAGAGAGGACTTCATCAGAGATTTTGCATGCAAACTCAACTCTTACAAAAAATTTCAGACATTATCAGTAAAGATTTGATATCACAGCTGATCAAACAATGTAGGTATGAGAGCATCACAGAAAAGAAACGATCATAAGACACAAGAACAGAACTCACTGCATTTTGAAAGATGAATGTTGCCTCTGAGCATGTCATCATTTCGGACAGATTGAGCTCTGCAAAGAGAGGACGGCATCAAAGATTTTGCATGCAAACTCAACTCTTACAAAAATTTCAGACAACATTATCAGTAAAGATTTGATATCACAGCTGATCAAACAATGTAGGTATGAGAGCATCACAGAAAAGAAACGATCATAAGGCACAAGAACAAAACTCACTGCATTTTGGAAGATGAATGTCGCCTCTGAGCATGTCGTCATTTCAGTTTTCTCCTCAGATTAACCTCTGCAAAGAGAAAGGACAGCCTATTAAATATTTTGCAAGCAAACTCAACTCCTTTCGCACAAAATTGTTCAGATGACATTATCAGTAAAGATTTGATATCACAGCTGATCAAACAATGTAGGTATGAGAGCATCACAGAAAAGGAACGATCATAAGGCACAAGAACAAAACTCACTGCATTTTGGAAGACGAATGTTGCCTCTGAGCAGGTCGTTATTTCAGTTTTCATTTCCGATTGACTTCTGAAAAGAGAACAGACAGCCACATCAAAGATTTTGCAAAACTCAACTCCCTTCATACAGAATTGTTCAGATGACATTATCAGTAAAGATCTGATATTACAGCAAATCAAACAATGTAGGTATGAGAGCCTCACAGAAAGAGAAAAATCAAAAAGCACAAGAACAAAACTCACCACATTTTGGAAGATGAATGTTGCCTCTAAGCATCTCATCATTTCAGACAGATTGACCTCTGCAAAGAGAAAGGACACCCACATCAAAGATTTTGCATGCAAACTGAACTCTCTTCTCACAGAATTGCTCAGACGGCATTATCAGTAAAGATTTGATATCACAGCTGATCAAACAATGTAGGTATGAGAGCATTACAGAAAACTTAAGGAACCATGAGACACGAGAATAAAACTAACTGCTTCTGAAAACATGAATGCCACCTCTAAGCATGTAGTAATTTGAGTTTTGACTTCAGGTTGACCTCTGCAAAGAGAAAGGACAGCCACATCAAGTATTGTGCAAGCTAACTCTCCTCCCAGAACACGGATTTGTTCAGACGTGGTCATCTGTAAACTTTTGATATCGGAGCTAATCAAACAATGTAGGCATGAGAGCATCACAGAAAAGGAATGTTCAAAAGGCACAAAAACTAAGTCTCAATTGAGCTTAACTCTCATTAGCAGTTCAATGAAACTTAGCAACAATATGTAACCCCGGCTAACCACAAATGCGTCTACTGTCGTTGGTTCAATGAGAGTTGAAAGGGCTAGTGTATTAGGGCATAAGTAGAAGATGCCAACACCAACTTCCCGGTCGAGAAACTGGCTGCTGCGTTATGGTGAATTCCGCTTGCAGATCTCGAGTGCTCCAAAAGTGCTCCATTTGGAGTGTGCATATTCCGCTCGCAGATCTGGCTCGAGTTGGCCATTTCCACTTGTAGATCTCTGGCAGCGCCCGCCCCGTGGAGAGCCTGCAACCCCGCCGAACTTGATCCGTGGGATTTCAGAGATATTGGCGAAAGTTGACAATTTTTTTGCAAAAAAAGTTGATTTTGAAATATCTAGGGAGGATTCCCAGTAAGTTTATTAGTTTACACAGCATAGTTAATTTTTTTCATTATTTTCTGTCCACCGAAGCTAAAGAAAAGGTAGGGTTTGGAGTACTATGAATGCATCTTTCTCCCTTCCACTTTTTGGTATAAATTCCATTTAGTCAATCTATCGTTCGATAATGGCAATACAGGGAAGGCTCGTTCTTCACTTTTCCTGACTGAAATTTAATAAGGAATGCGGCTATGGTACTTTTTTGTCACTTTACGGATGTCTTTTATAAAAAATGTTGACATTCTGTCAAAGACGCAGAAGACCAAAAAGTTGAGAAACTTTGGACAAGACAAAATGTATAGAAATAAACGACTTTTTACAAAAAGCATTTCATTACCGCACCCCCTAGGCAATCTGCTACATATTTAACGCATAAAAATCTTGAATATTGCGAGTTTTCCGACGATAGATTAACTAAACAATGTAGCCGTGTTGCTGATAGGAGCTGCTGCAATTTCCTTCCCATCTAACCGCCAGACCTGAAATTTTGTTATGCACCCTCCAGCATAGCCACTAGCCTACCCTGTAAATTTCATTCATTTTAAGCCAAGGGTTCAAAAGTTGACCCTCCCAGGGGGTGTGTCCCCTGAACTCAGAGGTGCGCATGCGCGACGAAACAATGGACGTGGTCGCCGGAACGCTGTCGAGTTGGATCTGTTTGGATGCGTCAGTAGTTTACGTGGGATTTTGACGGCTCGAACGCTTCTACCTCGCGTAGATAAGGGATTCAAAGCTGGGCCTGGAGCGTGGCAAGTCACAAGCGCTGACATCTGTGGTCGTGGGAGGAAAAAGAGAAAAAAAAAAAAAAAAAGACAGAAAATCGGAAGGACTGCCTCCTTCCAATTTTCTGTCATTTTTTTTTTTCTCGTGAACAGGCCTAACACAAGGTTAGGCCTGTCTATTTTGCCGCCACCGATGGTTTACCTTTTTATATTGCATGTCGCCGGTGTTTTCTAGCGTAATAAAGCAAGAACAGATTAGGCAACGACCATGTAAGTGATAGTTTGCTACCTCTTTGTATTTATTTAAGTCGTACCAGCAATCTGAACTACAACCAATGGCAATCAATGTGCGTGCCCCGCCACTTTGAGGCGGCCAAAAGGTATGCGACGGCGGCAAATGCGGACGTCTTCCTCGTTATTCATGACATGGGCTCCGTGGTACGAATATTTATATTTCCGACAGCCAGTGACAGTTGTCACTGGCCGCTGAAAAGATCAGCCGGCAAAGGCGTTGGTCGGCTTGTCAAATTCGAGCAGCGGCCATTTTGAACGGCCATCCAGGTCGGTGGGTCGTCCTATGGAGCGGGATTTAGCCTCCCTCACGGATTTTATAAAGCGCTCCGGATCTACCAGTGGAATTCACCATTAGACAAACCCCTGACGCCAGTCTGTAAAATGGCACCCATTCATAAAATTACCTCGCGCAAACTGACAAAACACAATTTAATGGAAAAACTCAAATGATGATGCTTGGTATAATCAGAGGGATTTATATGGTGGACACAATAAACCACCATAACATTAAATGGTCCCCAAACAAACATTGCACGCAAAAAACTTACTGCGTGATGTTTTTTTGCTTTTCTTTGACAACCAACATACACAAGGCTGCTGAAGAGCTGGAATGGTTTTGGAAAATATGCACATGAAAAACATTATCTACAAACATTTTGAAATTTAGCACTGCACTTGAATACTGCAATAAATGCAAACATAAACATAGGATATTACACAGAAAGAAACAAGCAGTTAGCACTGCCCTGCAACTGATATTTACCTGCACGAAAATGGAGACATGTTGACGACCCCTCGTCATTTGACAGAAACATGAGCCTGAAATACAGTAATGCTTCATAAAAAGAACTTCAAACAAGGCACAAGAAAACAACTCAGGCTTGTTTTGCTCAGATGGTGATGCATGATACGGGTATAATCACAATAGTTCATACCAGTGGATGGGATAGTTTATCATCATATTACATTGGTGCCAATTGTACAGAACCCCCCCCACCCCCCAACCCCCCTTTCCCCCCAAAAAATATCTCACCATCAAAAGCCCATCAGGGTTCATGTGGCCATCTTCCATCAAGCTGGAAAAGTTCAAAGGAGCCTTGAAATCCAATTATTTTGCCAGCAGTATCAGTGATTAAAGCATAATGCGCACTTGCTATTGGCATTTACCTGTGCAGAGACTGTTCACCATAGTGGTCCCCTTTCTTTATGCGATTACACCAGGCTGAAAAAAAAAAACCTTCTTCAAATGCACATTAGAGAAGCAAGAAAACAGTATAAGCTGATCACATTCAGATGGTGATGCATGATATGGGTATAATCACAGTAGTTCATACTGGTGGATGGGATAGTTTATCATCATATTACATTGGTGCCAATTGTACAGAACCCCCCCCCCCCCAACCCCTTTCCCCCCAAAAAAAATCTCACCATCAAAAGCCCATCAGGGTTCATGTGGCCATCTTCCATCAAGCTGGAAAAGTTCAAAGGAGCCTTGAAATCCAATTATTTTGCCAGCAGTATCAGTGATTAAAGCATAATGCACACTTGCTATTGGCATTTACCTGTGCAGAGACTGTTCACCATAGTGATCCCCTTTCTTTATGCGATTACACCAGGCTGAAAAAAACAACCCTTCTTCAAATGCACATTAGAGAAGCAAGAAAACAGTATAAGCTGATCACATTCAGATGGTGATGCATGATATGGGTATAATCACAGTAGTTCATACCGGTGGATGGGATAGTTTATCATCATATTACATTGGTGCCAATTGTACAAACCCCCCCCCCCCCAAACCCCTTTCCCCCCAAAAAAAACACTCACCATCAAAAGCCCATCAGGATTCATGTGGCCATCTTCCAGCAAGCTGGAAAAGTTCAAAGGAGCCTTGTAGTCCAATCATTTTGACAGTAGTGTCACTGACTGAAGCATAATGCACACTTGCTATTGGCATTTACCTGTGCAAAAACGGTTCACCGTGCTGATGCCCTTTCTTTATGCAATTACACCATCAGGCTGGAAAAAAGCAACCCTTCTTCAAATTCACATTAGAGAAGCAAGAAAACAGTATAAGCTGATCACATTCAGATGGTGATGCATGATATGGGTATAATCAGAGTAGTTCATACCGGTGGATGGGATAGTTTATCATCATATTACATTGGTGCCAATTGTACAGAAGCCCCCCCCCCCCCCCAACCCCTTTCCCCCCAAAAAAATCTCACCATCAAAAGCCCATCAGGGTTCATGTGGCCATCTTCCATCAAGCTGGAAAAGTTCAAAGGAGCCTTGAAATCCAATTATTTTGCCAGCAGTATCAGTGATTAAAGCATAATGCACACTTGCTATTGGCATTTACCTGTGCAGAGACTGTTCACCATAGTGATCCCCTTTCTTTATGCGATTACACCAGGCTGAAAAAAACAACCCTTCTTCAAATGCACATTAGAGAAGCAAGAAAACAGTATAAGCTGATCACATTCAGATGGTGATGCATGATATGGGTATAATCACAGTAGTTCATACCGGTGGATGGGATAGTTTATCATCATATTAAATTGGTGCCAATTTTTTAAAACCCCCACCCCCCAAAAAAAAACACTCACCATCAAAAGCCCATCAGGGTTCATGTGGCCTTCTTCCAGCAAGCTGGAAAAGTTCAAAGGAGCCTTGAAGTCCAATCATTTTGACAGTAGTGTCACTGACTAAAGCATAATGCACACTTGCTATTGGCATTTACCTGTGCAAAAACGGTTCACCGTGCTGATGCCCTTTTTTATGCAATTACACCATCAGGCTGGAAAAAAGCAACCCTTCTTCAAATTCACATTAGAGAAGCAAGAAAACAGTATAAGCTGATCAAATTCAGATGGTGATGCATGATATGGGTATAATCACAGTAGTTCATACCGGTGGATGGGATAGTTTATCATCATATTAAATTGGTGCCAATTGTTTAGAACCCCCACCCCCCAAAAAAAACACTCACCATCAAAAGCCCATCAGGATTCATGTGGCCATCTTCCATCAAGCTGGAAAAGTTCAAAGGAGCCTTGAAGTCCAATCATTTTGACAGTAGTGTCACTGACTAAAGCATAATGCACACTTGCTATTGGCATTTACCTGTGCAAAAACGGTTCACCGTGCTGATGCCCTTTCTTTATGCAATTACACCATCAGGCTGGGAAAAAAGCAACCCTTCTTCAAATTCACATTAGAGAAGCAAGAAAACAGTATAAGCTGATCACATTCAGATGGTGATGCATGATATGGGTATAATCACAGTAGTTCATACCGGTGGATGGGATAGTTTATCATCATATTAAATTGGTGCCAATTGTTTAGGACCCCCACCCCCCAAAAAAAACACTCACCATCAAAAGCCCATCAGGATTCATGTGGCCATCTTCCATCAAGCTGGAAAAGTTCAAAGGAGCCTTGAAGTCCAATCATTTTGACAGTAGTGTCACTGACTAAAGCATAATGCACACTTGCTATTGGCATTTATCTGTGGAAAAACGGTTCACCGTGCTGATGCCCTTTCTTTATGCAATTACACCATCAGGCTGGAAAAAAGCAACCCTTCTTCAAATGCACATTACAGAAGCAAGAAAACAGTATAAGCTGTGCAGGGATAGGGAACTATTATTTTGGAATTCCCTGACTTTTCCAGGTTTTCCCTGACAATTTCAGGTGAAATTCCCTGATCACTGTAGAGGCGGTTAAATATATAAGACCATTTCCACACAAGGCATTGAGCACTATGAGGATAATTTTGCACGGGCTTAATTCAACTTGCATATTCCGAAATATTTGGGTTCATCCATTTCGGATTAAACGAGCACTTTCTTGCCGCCAACATCATCAGTGAAGAGGGCACTTCCGGAAACGCGATGAAAACACGACACTAGACCACAGACGTCAATAACCGAATGGGAGCATGGCCGCCAGATGCACACTTTCGGAGACTTTCGTCTTGAGGTTTGGATTGGATTGGGGTCTGCGACTTTCCAATTTGTAACTAAATCTAGTAGCTCGAACTGGATCTAGCCTAGTGTCACACCCTCAGTCCTATCCAGTCCAATCCAAAGCTTGGACTGGATTTGTCGGCTGTTCCCTTTGCATCGGGTAGCACACTCTACCATCAGGTAAGCAGAGCCCGCGCTCCGCTCCAAGCAAAATTTCTTGCCTATATTGCTGTCCCCAAGTCCTAAAGTCTTTGCTTAGGTACTCGATGGCGTTACTCGATGACGTTTCCGGCTCATTTTCCCTGACTGGGCTCGCTTTTTGACAATATCCCAGATTTTTCCCGGTAATCAAAATTTCCCTGACATTTCCCGGTGTTCCCGGTCGCTAGACACCCTGTGCATGATACGGGTATAATCACAATAGTTCATACCGGTGGATGGGATAGCTTATCATCATATTAAATTGGTGCCAATAGTTCAGAACCCCCCCCCTCCCAACCCAAAAAAACTCGCCATCAAAAGACCATCAGGTCTCATGTGGTCATCTTCCAGCAAGCAGGAAAGGTTCAAAGGAGCCTTGAGATCCAATTAATTTGCCAGCAGTGTTACTGATAAAAGCATAATCCACACTTGCTATTGGCATTTACCTGTGCAGACGACCTTTCTTTGTGATTACACCACCAGGCTGGAATAAAGCAACCCTTCTTCAACTGCATATTACAGAAGCAAGAAAACAGTATAAGCTGATCACATTCAGATGGTGATGCATGATATGGGTATAATCACAGTAGTTCATACCGGTGGATGGAATAGTTTATCATCATAATAAATCGCCACAATTATTTTGAAGAAAAAGAAAAAAAGACACTCACCATCAAAAGCCTATTAGGACCCATGTCCTCCTGGAAAACTTTGAAGGAGCCTTGAAGTCAAATCATTTTGCCAGCGGTATCATTGATGACCACATTGTGCATGCTTGTTATTGACATTTACCCGTGCAGAGATTGTTCACCATGATGATGCCCTGTCTTCACGTTACTACAATGCAGGACTGCAACATAACAACCATTGTTCAACCATGTTACAAAAGATAAGAGAAAATGGTGCAAGCTGATCATATTCAGATGGTGATGCATGTTAAGGGTATAATCACTGATTCATACCGGTGGATGGAATAATGTACCAACAGAGCAAAGCGGTGCCAAATGTTTAATGCAACTGACAGACAAAACTCACCATCCAAGAGTGCAGGGGCTTGGCTTTCTCTGCAAGGGGCTGCAATAACAATGAATGGATGCCAACCACATGGGACTGCTGTTAGGACTACTTATAACTGTGGCCCATGCAGTGGAGAGTAGTGTGCTTGCTCTACTCTACAACTGTTAGCAGAAACACACTACTTTGCTCCACTTTTCAAGCAAACCAAAATGTGTCTTTTGAGCATGGAAACACACTAGTTCTTAGAAAAGGATGGAGGAGTACCCCAACTGCCGAGTAACACCAAGAATGCGAGATGCGCACGACGAGGACGTAGTCAAGAAAGCAGTCCCATCACTAAATGCGGAAAATGGTAAACGAGAGCAGAAAAGTGTATTTAGCAGGTAAACTAGACTTGCGAACTTGCGCAAGTATTTATTTATTTATTCATAACACCTTGAAGGTCCATTGCTGGACATTACACAAGGGGGGATTTTGTCAAATTACAGTATAGTCAACACTTAAAAGAAGAAAAAAAAATAACAGTACGAACGGGATAGCAATATCAAAGTAGCCGACGGACTTGCGCACCGTATTGCGAGATCGAACAAGACAACACACAAGACACGTTCAACAAAGCTCTAATAGCGTTGATCTTAAGCAGCATCAAAGCAGACGAAAAAATACTAGTAGTCCATAGAAGCTACGACCATAGATTTAAAAGTCTTCCGTAAGGTAACATCTCGTAAGGACATCGCCCACGTGGTCCTTTGTGGAGCGAGGAGGCTCAACAAAAGACCTCAACAGACATCCAAGAGTGAAAAGCCGGGATTGTCAGTCACTGTAGGTAGTCCCGAGAGACGAAATCCTACAAGAGCGCTCAAGCGATCTTCCGGAAAATTTGATTGAAGACGGCCTGTGTTCATATCACCGAAGCTGCACCGAAGGACACAATTTTCTCGATGAAATGACTCACAATCTACTTACCAGATTCTTCTGATTGTTGGTTGGCGACGCTTTTTCTGAAAGAAGTCCTGCCATTTGATGAACAATTACTACCGGTGAAACCGGTGAACACATCGGTGAACATGTCTTCAAAGTCCGTCCTACAGTCCCACGGGCCCAAGGAGCCCAAGGAGATTTGCACGGGCTAGAGCACTATATAGCTCCTTCGGAGCAGAGTAGCGCAATCTAGAACGCCGCCTCTCGGCGACTAGCGGCGAACGCCCGGAGGTTCCAACTGCGGTCAAAAATGCATGGAGAACGTGAGAAAATCGTTGTTTCTTCAATATTGTGGGAATATACGGAATGGCAATCGTTTTTGACATAATAATGGAACATTTTAGAATAATTTGCGCTAAGTTTTGTGCCCCGCAAGGACCTGACTTTTTTTAAAAAATTGCTTGAGCGGCATCATGCAGCAGACGACACGGTGACGTCACACCATTCACGTGACCCGCTCCGGCCAACCCGAAAAGCCCATCTCCGCTGCGAGCAAAAATCGTCTGCTTCAAACGCCATTGCCTTGGAAATTGCCTTCTCAAAATTTGCACACGCATCCGATATTATTAAAACTTTGACAAAGTGTTTAGTGCTTTACTAACTTCACGACAGACTAGTTTTGAAAAGTGTGAACTCGCCGTTCATTTTTTAATCAGCCGTGTTGTATCGATCTCCATGTATTCTCCCATAGGGCGGGCCGCCTCCTGGAACCCTGAGTACCACGTGACTCGCGCCGAGCCGCTCTGTCGGCCATGTTGTCGGCAAAACACGGGGTTCAAAGGATTGCGCTACTCTGCTCCGTAGGAGCTATATAGTGCTCTAGCACGGGCCACGTCGGGTGACGTCGGCTCTGGATAGGCTGTGAGCTGGATAATATCCAACCTCCTTGATGCCGTCTTTGCGATCACAAGTGGCATCCTTGTCTAAATAGCTAATTAAAAATGTAAACTAAAATTATAACTTTTATTTAAAAAATTTATTGCTAAAAGTCCAGAGGTCGTCTTCTACAATTTCTCAAAGTTTTGTTTTCCTGCCCCTCCCTCGAATAGGGTAAAGCTAGTGTTACCTACATCACGCATGACGTCAAATAAAACCAAAATCACAATAAAACAAAAGTTGCCCGGTTGCCCTCTTTGGCCGTTGCTGATACCATGTGCATGCACTTTTTCCATTGCCAGCGGTTGCTTCGCTCGTACGGTTTGCTCATTTGTTTCAAATGATTCTTCCTTCAAGGGCCAATAACGCCGCAAGCAGCACATACTCAGGGCTATCCGATCGCTTTTAATGGCGCAACCAGCACAACAACCCCAAGGTCCACAACCGCTGGCACGGTATCGAGCAGTGCCTGCGTGCCACCTTCTCTTCCCGGCTGCTCCGCACGGATCCGCTCCGAGTGATTTTTGACGTTTCAAACTGAAACCCAATCTGCGTAACGCATTGGATCGGTTGTGGGCACCCGCCGCAGAACTAGCATAGCCAGTCTGCAAAGCGAGCGGAAAGGCCGCGAAAACCGCAAAATTTCAAGCTGACACATGGAAACAGTTGTGCGACTCACCCGATGGAGTCGCCGCGCGTTCGGGCGCCTAAAAAGTCGGGTTCGCCACAAGCTTACCTACCCTAGGATCGTGTTCTACTCCCTAGTTTACAATGAGTTCGCCGATATTTATTACGTCGGGGACACGTTCATGGAACCGTTGTTTTGGATTGTGGACCACTTCGCGAAAGCTATGGGACCGGTGAGTAGTTTCCGATATGCTCCAAAGTTCCGTGAGAGCAAAGTAGACTGGGACAACATCAAACTCACACGACGCTGAACCCGGTCCAAACTTTGCTGTGCCATTCGCACGACCAGCTGTCTGCCCCCGGTCAAGCAAGGTCTCGTTCGTGATAACCGCAGAGTAAAGTTTCATAATGTGACCGCACCTCGAGATTGGTAGTGAAACTCCTTTCCAACGGTGTCTCAATTTCTTGCCCTATTTATTTCTGTATCGTATCTTCGAGCAGCATCAAAGCACATGAAAAAATACTAGTAGATCATTGCTGATACAATGTTGTATATTGTCAACCCGTGTATACGACATGCATGGGTAACTAATGCAGCGCTTGTTTTTGCAGATATTTGTCACCACCATCACTATTGTTGCCTGTACAATCATCACCATCGCCTACACCATCGGCATTCCATACTGGTGGCAAAGGAACACATGGATCCTGGCAATAGCATTAGTCATTGGCCACTGGCTGCTAGTCAACATCGTCTTCCACTACTGGATGGCACTCACCACAAACCCTGGCACTCCTCCAGAGGCAAGTCGGGGGGGCGAGCTCGGCCATTCATTTGCCTAACGCCAGTCTGTTTCCATCAGGGCTCCCTTCTGCCAGAGGTGGTGTCCATATGCAAGAAATGCATAGCGCCAAAACCACCTCGCACGCACCACTGCAGCATCTGCAATCGCTGCGTCCTCAAAATGGATCATCATTGCCGTATCCTTTCCTGCCGTCAAATAACTCCCGATTGGATCAGTCTTCTTCGGTTGAAATGATAAAAGTTAAAATTAATGCAATGCTATACTGCCTCTTTACGAGCTGAAACCCTACCACTGCTTAGTGAGATTCTGAACGAAAAGATGGCGTAGAGTAGTCGTCCAGGCCTTGTGAAGCCTCGCGCTTGTTGTTCTAAACTTCCCGACTTGCTCATGTTAAGCATCAAGACATCAGATGCCTGAACATCTGGTGCTGCTTCTGTTCTTCACATGGCATTCCAAGTGGCAAACAATGATAAATATGCAGTAAATCTGTTCTTGCCATAACTCAATGGAAAAAAAATTGGTGTTCAATACTAAAGTTCACATGTAACCAAACAAAATTTTATTTTGTTCACTCACATAAACTTTTATACCTTGAAAAAAATCGGGTAAATTGGATTTTTATATTTTATTTTACAAAATACACGGTATTGTGAACTGAATTTGCTCCTTGTAATCCTGACATCTTGTAGACCGTGCATATGAAGTATTATGAAACTTGCCACACTACAACTCAAGAAGTAAATGCCCAAACTGTGAAAGGGTCTACTAAAACCTAGATAACAAAACAATGATTGTACATTAGAGTTATCTCTGAACATTCAAGTTACAGTTAAATGACAGCTCTTTATATTGACATCAGTCTTATAATTGTACATAGCACACAAAGAAAGTTATGCGGAGCACAAGTTCATCTGCTTCTTTTGCAGGGGTTCTGGTGACATCAAAATGCCGAGCTCCGACTGAAGGATAGTGAGTGTCTACTCACTATCTTTCAGTCGGAGCTCGGCATTCTGATGGCATCATGGCAGCTTGCTTTGAGGTCTACTTGCTATCCTTCAATCAGAGCCAATCAAAGTTCGGCATTCTGCAGATGAACTTGCACTTTGCATTAGCCCTAAAAAAAGAAGCAACATGACTTGATTGGTGGGGTTGCACCAATTAAGCACACATGTTGTGCTTTCGTTACACTGACAAAGTCCGTGTCTATACTATCATGTCAAAATTCAGAATGGCGATGGTGAAAATGTTATTACAAAATGGTCCTCTATAAAGTTGAGAGTTCCACTAATCCTTCATAGTTTCATTATCAGTTACCATGACGCGAGACCTCATGTCAACCTTGCTTTCATTGCTTGATGTTTTGGTCACTAGGTGTTCGAAATGTTATACTGTATAGCACATCAGTAGTTTAGCCCCATGTCGCAGTAAAAATAAAAAAAACTTAATTTAAATTGCGAGTAAGAACATGCTTTTCGTGTAAAGCTCGTCACAATATTAGGTGCTGGAGAAAATTGGCCATCTGCATTAAGTCCTTATTTCTAACGCTTTTTGTTTACGCTTCGCCCATTGAAAACCACGGTCTCCTTCCACACAACAAAGTTTATCTGCTATGGCCAGTGTCGTAACAGCAACGAAGCGCCTTCTTTATGGAGGAACGCAGCGTCTGAAGCCAGCAATGGCAGATGCCATCTTCCAAACGTTGTCTGCTAGTAAACGCCGTAATGCTAGCCAAAGTCGGACCCGCCGTTGTGGAGGTTAATGCTGAGAGCGGAAAGCGGTCAGCTGGCGAACCCTTGGTGGTTGCGACAAGGTTTGGTGCATGCTCAGGCCTGAGATTATAATAAAGCTTCCCCAAGCAAAGTGAGGGTTGACTGCACGCAGCGTAGTCTGTTTGGCAGCCTAGCTTGGAGCCCAAACTAACATTGTCGCATTGGCAGCAGATGGCATTCAGAAGATGGCACAGCTGTAGCAGACTTCAGATGCTGCGTTCACGTGCGCGTCTATTGGCATTTGGTGATCGCAGCAGACGGACTTTATTGTGCGGAAGGAGACTGTATTGTAACGAGATCAGGTATGTACTTGGGCTCTTTCGCTGTGCTTTTCAATTGACGGAACGTGAACACAGAGTTCGACATGAGGAACTAAAGCAGATGGCTTATTCTCTCCACCTAATATTTTGAGGAGCCTTGCACGAAAAGCATGTTGTTTTGGCCATCCGACAGCTGCCTTTTGTCACCCCTAAAACATGGGTTTGAAGTATCAAACTGTCTACTGTTTAATCCTGTGCCTCCAGCTCTCATACCTATTTGCTACAAATGCCTCCTTGCTTCAGAAACAAAGCTTGGAGATACAACTTGTTTTCATTCGAGTGTAGCTTCCTTAAATGCTTTAGCTTGGCTAAACAATTGTATTGGCCACTTCACACACCGCTACTTCTTCATGTTCTGCTCCTACATGCTACTGGGCATAATGTTCCTCATGGTGTTCGGCTACAAAATTGCCTACGATGAGTACTTTAGCAAGCCCACCACGGTAAGACCTGGCGTAGTGGCTTTCGCAACTAGTTTTTATTAATTATTTCATCCTCATACTTGCAGCTACCCCTCAACGTATCCGTGGCAGCAGATGCAGTGGTGAGAAAAATTAAATTTGTCCCAAGATCACCAAATTGAGTGTCCATTATCAGATCTACACTTTCTGATGTCCATCAGTAATTTGTGAGATACCATGTATCTCACAAAATGCATTTTAAAGAAAGTGAATCAATGCAAGGTTTGTACCGTGAGCTGCAATTTAGATTCAGCCGTGGATGGAGTGTATGGGCCAATCCTCCTCTTCTCTTTCACTCTCACTGCTTTCCACAGCATGCAGAGGTGAGGTATGCAGTGCGTGTATCTCTCCTTATAAATATTTTTTTCCAGCTGTTCAGTCCCATATCATTTTCTTCTTTGCTCTTTGGTACGAGCTCCTGTACATTTGTATAAAAAAAAGCATTCTCCTCAATCTATTGAATGGGTCAGTGCCTCACCAAACTTGTATATTATAGCCATAATGCCTAACTTCTCAGAGAAAGCTTGCGGTGTTAGCAAACCCACACGGACTGCAACAGGCCACCAGCCTTCTGTGCTTTTTGCAACACCCTTACTTTTCCACTTCCTTCAACGTTTTAGGATTACCATTTTCTGCTTTTGCAAAACAGTGGGAGGAACAAAAAGTACTACCAAGTAAAGAAAGAGAGTTCAGTGGATGCTTAAGTCGCCTGCTCTCTCCTGCAGAACGTCACAGTGCCAACGGCCCCAACCAAGAACTCCAGAGATTTTGCCAGGCGGTACTACATCACCTTCACGGCGCTCGTGTGCATCGGAGTTTTTTTTGCCCTGGGAGCGCTCACCATGTGGCACGCTCGCCTTATCACCAATGGTGAGACCAGCATCGAGGCCCACATCAACAAGAAGGAGCGCATACGGCTGGGCAAGGAGGGCATTGTGAGTGAAACATCAGCAACGCTGCTGGCTCTGTCACCAAAGCATTTGTTTGACAAGTCTCGTTTGCCTACGTGTGTGCGGACCGAAACAGATCAGTGCCCGTTCCTTGAGGTTGAATGCAAAGGGAGTTGTATTTCTGAAGGACATGTCCATCTTGCATCCGCCGTTTGCGAGCCCCACCGCATATACGGATAAATGATGAAAAGCTTGACACGAGGCTAGTGTGTAGACCTCTTGGGAACCTTGACATGAGAGATGTGCGATGCCTGTGGCTGTACCCTTTCACAGTCACTTCTCCATGTCCATCAGAGGTTGTCAGTAATCTCATTTAGTACCTGGACAAGCGGAGGATTTGTGCAGTTTTTGGTAGCATTGGACTATAGAGGCATACCATGGTATGGCTTATTTTTGAAAATTCAGCACCTATACTCCGTGTCACCAGTTGCGTGCAGTACAGGCGAAGGCAACGCCAGGCGAGGGAAGAAAGGGCAAGCACTAGGATGGCTCTGGAGGAGGAGAGAAACCTCCTTTCCTCTCTAACGTTCCTAGTGCTATCACTTTCTCCCCTCCCGCATTTGTAGTGCTCGCCCTTTCCTTCTTTGCTTGGCGTTGCCTTTGCTTGCACTGCACGGTGTATATCGTGTCTTTTATATTAATTTTCAACTTGGAATTTGGTGAGCGGTTAAAGGGATGCTGAACCGAAATCTGGATTCCACAAAACACGTTGCAAAAGCGTGCAATGGGATGCTACGAACACCAAAACATCACTCATACAGCGATATCTCGAACGGATGACCGTATTTTGCAAGAAAAGGAGGCGCATTTGATAGAAATGTTTACGTCATGTTTCTCCGAGAAGGAGAGGGAAGGGCCTCGCGTCTTCTCCGCCTCGCCGCCTTGAGGGAGCGAAGCGAAGAGAGGAGGAAACTAGGTATCTTCACGGTCACGTGCCTCGTCGGCCTGGTTCAATCTCGACCTCTTTTTCCTAAAATACGACCGTCCATTTGAGATATCGCCTTAAGAGTAGTGTTGTAGGGATTGTAGTGTCCCGCCTACATATCCTGCATTGGTTTTTTTAAATCCAAATTTTGGTTCACCATCCCTTTAAAAAGATACTGTCCTACGGGGACCCAACTATCCAGCAAAAACATTTGCGACTCAAAATCCGATTTATATATGCACGAAAACCGCTGGTCGAGAATCGAGTGTTCAGGTCTGCTTTCACTCTTTTCTGTGGTCATGTGTGGACATGTCGGAGCACAATGTAATTTTGAAGTTGTATTGTATTGTATTGTATTTTATTGCCACCTAAAGCACACATTCATTAATAAAAGTAATAGAATCCACGAAACATGGCTTTTCTTACCGCTGAAACACTAAAACACGCATTGATTTATAGAAACTACGAGCACTTAGTCTACACGAGGAGAGACACCTTGCAACTCCAGGGCATTACGACATCATAGTCCCTGGTTTTGGTTTGACGTTTTCCTTTTTTTTAGCTCAAATATGATAATCTGTGGCAGAAAAAAAAAGTTGGATAGTGTCTTGACACTATATTCTAATGCTTTGTGAGAAAAATTTTTATTTATTTTTAAGATGTCAGCACACCCTCTGGTAGAAGTGCGACTTGGTTTTGAGTACACGCGATGAACATCACTTTTCAAGTGTGGTGTTTTGTAGTCGCCTTGTCTGGGAGACAAGCAAAAGTACTCTCTCTCTCCATGGAGAGTTCCTTTAACTTTGTTCGGGATAATTATTAACTATACTCAGCATTAACTATCTTGTGCCCCACTGTCACAGCTATCGTAGCTTCCACAGTGCTGCAGCCCCGCACTGTTGCAAGAGCATGTGGCTTTGGCTTGCGTCTCGATCACTCGCGCAACCAGCTTTGACAGAGTTGGAGTACTTTAAAAGCTATGCTAGCTTTAAGAAGGTAGCACGAAATAGTTGACGCCGAGCATAAAATTGCATGCTCTGTCCACCTCGCTTTCAGGTCTACGTGAACCCGTATGACTTTGGACCCAGGAGGAACTGGAGGCGGTTTCTGGGACTCACTCATGGCCGGTAATTGAGATGATCAAACTGTCTTCTTTCTCTTGGGCGAGTATCTCCTATATCCGATAGACAATATGCAAAATGTTTGGTGGTCTGGCAGCACTGTGCACGCAGCCATCTTGGTAGCGTCAAGTATATTGAGTTTCGGTTTCTCAGCATTTCCAGGGCATAGACGCTCTGCCACGAAGTGCAATTAGGAAACTTTATTGTTTTCTGACTTCCGATCACCCAACGTGGACAAAGGACTAGGCCGTCATGTCTTTCATCTGGACACTTTTAATTCTTTTTTCGATGCGAATACGCATGAAGTTGTACTGTTCAGTTCAGCTCAAATTGGTTTCAGATAGTTGACGGATGTTGCGCTATTAAAGAAGATTTCAACCCTGGCTGTATAACTGCATTGACTTTCTCAAAACTATTTCCGAGCTTCTTTGCACTAAAATTTTGACCAAAAGAAAAAGAAAAGGAGATTGTGAAATGAAGTTGGCACCGGCCGTGTTGTTCCATTCGACGCCCACAGCGTAAGTTTTCGCCACCGCCGACATAGAAGGTTTAGTCATTGCGATAAACCAAATTCGAACGCCCAATTCAATGTAATCGAGTGTGGCGTTCTACAAAAATACAGCAAAATCCCGTCTTTGCGAGTGTTGAGCAAAACAGGCACGTCATCCGTGTCTTCTGTTTTCAATTCTGCATGCCCGCGCTTCAAATATGCAAGATTATTGTATCAACAAACTCTCCTGTTTAGTTTTAGCAGTGTTTTACAAACCTCAATTACCGACGCCAGATCAAGTGTTTAGAAATCGCTGCAAAGCAATGAGATTGTTTTCTGGCCCTCCAAAGTAGTTCTTTTTTTAACATACATGACATTAAAATGAGGGCTCTAGTACTTTCAGCTTTTGTTCAGTGTTAACCATACCCATCTTCAACTATGGTTGGTGGCGTAGATTCTTTAAATTCGTCTTTTTGCCTCACTTAACAGCCTTGGTCTCGTCCGCATACATTGAGTTGCTTGCACATCCAGAAAAACGCAGGCCAACACCTACAATGTGCATAAAAAAAAAAAAAAAAAAAAAAAGTCCCGAAACAAATTTGGTACAACTTTCTGAAAAGTTCAATAGCTGTAAATGACTTCACGCTGCGCAATAACGTCTGCATGTTTCTTCGCGTTGTTACCGATTGTTTTAGTCAAAAGCTGCATCTCAAGTAAGAAATAAAAATAAGAAAAAAAATTGTGAACCCTGTTCAGGTTTGCATTCACGTCACACAGAAATCAGATTTATCGCTGTATCCGCAGCGGAAGAGAGCAACACATTCGCATCGCGGTCGCTTGTTTACGTGGGTTCTTTGTCGGTCGGGTCACTCGTTTCGTTTTCTTGCCGCTACCAGGATGGTGGACGTAGTTCTCGGCGTGCTACTAGATGGCGCTCTACATTTCGCATATGGTCTATTGATGGGCAACCCGGAGCTCTAAACTCTGGCTTGAGGAACACGTGTGTAATACCCTTGTCAAACGGATTCATTTAGTGTCACTTCAAGCGAGTGCACTTCAGCGCATCGAATGTCACTTCCAGTGCTTTTGTGCTACACGGCAAAATTTCGTGTCACTCGGAAATGATATCAATGACTTTGGGTAAAGTAAAAAGCATACAAATTACTCATAAATATGCACATATTTCTCAATAACCTTTTTTGCATCCTTATTAAAAACATGTTGCCAGACATTGTTACATTAATTAGAAAGCTTTACGCCAATTGGATGAATATATTGAGCCATCACAAGCCGAAACAAGTACGAAGCAGATATCACATCCAGACCTGGAAGACCTTCGCGCGGAGGGGGTCTTCCAGGTGGTCTTCCCACAGTCTGAATGCAGCAAAAGTCTCCTGCTCGGACCATGGGCAACTTGGGGTTTGCGGTGCTGCGGCCGACTCCATACTACAATCTGAAGTTCGTGGTTTCGCCTTCAAGCTTTTTGGCTCGTTTCTGAAAGACGAAGCACCGAGTACTGTTGCACAATCAAGTGCAGTGTGTACGTCGAAAAATCTGATAGCTAGATTAGCCTTTTTTTTTTTTTGCGATAATATATATTACTTTTTGTTGGCATAAAACAAGTGCATATCTAATAGTACTTCTCCGAAAAATACATTAATTTTCTGCAGCTTTATGGTTTTCTATTGGGTGTTTTCTTTACTTCTGAAATACTGCTATCGAGGCTACACATTCGGTCTCCTGGATCGAATGTAGTGAGCTTACGAAACACACTCTCCGTCGAGTGCATTCTTCGATGAGTGACACTAAGAGTTACCATATGGCACCGCACGAGTGACACTGGGGGCGAAATGCACTCGCTTCAAGTGACACAAATTAGCCAGTCTTACAGGGGTATCAGGCATCATCCCTTTGTGTACCTGATATGATCTTACAGGATGTCAGAATTGTGTTACCGTATTTATTGAAAAGACCTCTTTATGAACAAAGCCCGTGTTTCTCTGCAACGTTCAAGGGGAGCCTATCATTGCAATTTGCAGAAGATGCCCAGCGAATGACGAGGCACTGATAACGTTGGAACACAGAAATTAGTTTTGTGCGAATTGCGTTATATTTTATTCCATTGTTATCTCTGCTTCCCTATTCTAGGGCTCAAAGTCTTAATTATTGGTCTCTGTGGGTTCTGCGGGAAAGTAGACACAGGTCTCTTCACAAAAGGTCGACCTAGTTTAAAATAAATATGTGGTAGTCCTCTTTGGAAAGTCTTCTGATCATCCAATATTTCTTTAAAGGTTTGAAATGCTTCAACAGCATTGGAAGTTTCTTTCAACCACTTGTAGTGTGCGTATGGAAAGGGTCCAGGAGTGTTCCAGACAAATCTTTTATCAGACATGCTACACTAACTAGTTTGCTTTGAAGAAAAGCTATGAATTTGCTTCCCAATGAAAAGGAGAGAAGTGCACGAGATCTAGCACAAGGTATATTTAACTGGATTTGTTTGTACATACCATTTCGTAATACCTAAAGGTTTGCGAGCGTCTGTATTTACTGTGCTACAAAGGCCTACGAGTAGGCATTACAAAACCTCAGCTGCAGTACTATCCCACTTGTCAGCAGCTTTAACTATGCTAGAGTTGTTTACAGCACCTTGGTGTCATAGGTTTCGTGTTTGAACATGAGCATTCAGTAAGTGGAGTCCACTCTATTTTTCGTCACTTCTGGTACCACAGACACATTTAATATGCAATTCAGAGTCCAATGTGCAGCACTCTTTGCAATTACATTTGAATTTTTTTTTTGTCCTACCTCATGCAATTCAGATTTTAACGAGCTAGCCTCACGTAAAAGTAGACTCTTTTCACCCACCGCCCCTCAAAATTGTGCATGGACCATACTGACATATATCCTTCAGGTAGAGCAACTCCAGACTACTAAAAATTTAGCAAAATAAACATCTAGTCAATAAGCTCTGCCAGCCAGTTGACGCTAGTAGCACCCAGAGCTGTTTACCGTGTAGCATACTGTAAACTGGTACTGCTCACAATATTAACTGTGGCTGGCTGTAGAAATGACAGTGCCACTCTGGGGTGATTCCTGTACATCCTGCAGTTTGTGACGTGAAAGCTTTTAGAACCGGCTCCTGTTGTCGTTGAAGCAGATTCAATTGCGAGCGCAAAATCGCCGGTTAAAATTGAGCAACGGTTCATGGTCGCTCTTGCCACAATCCTTTCGTAGCACATGGCGCCACTTGCTCTGGCCGTCTGCACATCCACCGGAGGGCAGTGGACTCACGTGGGACACGATCTACCAGACCGGATGACCTCCACCTGCCAAGTTCCGTCCGGCGTCTCTCGAGATTACTCGCTCTGGGAATGTTCCTTCGGAGGCACACTGCACCCGCGCAACTTTAGAAAGTAACTGGGCCGACGGTTAGCACCCAAGTGATCATGCTACGTCGCCGTTCCAGGCATCAGTTCGTTGCTTGGCGACTGTTTTCCGTCGGCCTGCGAAGAGAAAAAACAAAACAAAATCACTTGCCATCATTGAAATGATTCTGAAGTGGGTGGAAAACAAAGCATACCTTGGGAAGCTTGCTCCCTTTGCCAAATAACTAAGTCAACAAAACTGAAATAAAGTTGTCCTTACAATTTTGACAGCGTCGGCTCGTTAGCGATGGCAGCGCACGGTACCTCAACTGCATGTTATTGCGAGAAGGGATGGGAAAAAGCTAAAAGCTGGTTCGGACACTTGCGACCGACTATGACACAACCTGTTCTGCACAGCAGCAGTGCGACTCAAAAGCTGGTTGTGTTGGAATCTGTCACTACCCAAGAGGCTCAACCTTCGAAGCTTTGGCTTATGATGAATTAAATTCATAGTATGTACTGGCAGTTGCGAGGCAGAATGCAGTGCAAAGTTTCATCTGTGTACATGAATTGTGAAAGCAATTAGTCGTTTTTATCAGGAACACACTGATATTGTTTAGGAAAACTTTACCTAGTAAGAAAACTAATGTAATACCAAACATTTTCCGTCACTAGATACTCGGTAGAATACCTGGAGAGTGCAACTGTGAAAACAAAATTTCCAAAAAGCAATTTATTTTATGCTAACACTGCCCTGAAAAATCAGCCAAATTTCTGCCTTTAATGTTGTCGACCGTTACGAAACGATAGTTTTCCTAAAGTGAAATATATATGCCAAAAAATGCAACGGAGAAAAATGCCTTCAAGGCGCTCAAAGCTCTACCTTTCCTTTAGAATTGGCGTACCGAAAATAACTGATAAAAAGTAACTATGGAGTGTAAACAAATGAATCTTTCTGGGAATACGCTCTAGATGATGCTGGATGTAAATCCTGTCATTTTTCTAAATAAACTCTTTTTGCGGAAATATTTTTTTCTGAGTAGTGTCCCCCCTTAAAAGGGGCACAAAACGGCTCCTGGTGGAGAAAACCTTATGAATACTGTTTTAGCGGTGCACCTGCAATGTCGCTGAACCCATTGAGTTATTATAATGTACGCTAGAGGTTCAAGTGGCGCTAGCGTGCTGACGCAAATTGAAGCAGACAGCAACCAGTCCGAAATTGACTTCCGGTAATGCATTTCTATGGGAAAAGGTGAGTGCATTTTCTCCCTGCGCTCAATCATAAGAGCAAATATCCCGAATAATTTGTACGTACAAGGTAGCTTGGAACAGTTCTCAGTCAGGCCGACGCAATAATCGGTCAGTTACGGCGTTTTTCTTTCAAATTCATATCGCATTAAAAACGGTGCTAAAACGCCTTCGTACATGTATTTGTGTGCACTGTCGGACACTGTTAGCGCGAACACGACGTCGGCGCTTTTCAGCATGGGGGAATATACGTGCCAAACGAACGAAGGACATCTAGAAATTAAGGACTGCAAGAACTACGCAGCAACACTGGATCAGCCACTACTCGTGCATGTACGATCAAAATAAATTGAAGACCATGTAATATATTCCGATTTTAAATAAGTATGTATATCGTTTTATTCTTTCTGCTCTGTGCAAAGATGCTTGTTCTAAGTTCAAAATATTACCCGCACGCTCGAAATCTTTGAGAACAAGTGCCCGATAAAAGCTGCCGTGTAGAGAAAACAATACGAAGAGACACCTTTCACAGCCCACATACTTTATTCTTTACGTTTTGAATGTTTTTATCCGCTCATGCACGACATGGTCATTTTTATATAGTGACAGGACTGGCATATTAGCAATATATAAGCATCTTTGGAATGCTGGCGAGCCTTAAACACACTCTATATTCCTTTCCATTGTAATTTTGCTTTGAATCGTCGCTTGTTTTTACATACGTCCTGCAGAACACACGTTTGGGATTGAAATCTAGCGAAGTTAAACATCGTTCACTGATGAAGAAAAATGCGCCAACTAAAGCAATTACACTTTTACAGCGTTAATCAAGGTACATACGATTCGGTACGACCCAAATAACCAAAGTGCTCAGAGTTATTTTCCGTCGAAGAGACAAAATGCACGCGCGTTTTCCCATAGGAATGCACATGAGCACCGCAAAAGTAGACTGGTTGCTGTCTGCTTCAATTTGCATCACGGATGTCGCATAGACACTAGCGCCAGTTGAACCTCTAGCGTGCATTATAATAACTCTATGGCTGAACCATCATGGTCATCGGCTGACTGAGGTCTTGCACAGGGTGCACACACTGAAGTGTTTCATGTCTGTATACGTGCCACCTTGGGAAAAAGATGCAAATGCTTTCAGCATTTGGGCCGCCTCTACCTTGTCCCATGCAGAATAAGCTCGTACAACACATAACAAGCGATTGATCCATATATTGTCCATTTTCTTATTTGCAGTCCATCTGTCTGCCTCTGTGCAGATATATGGCATCGCCATTCAATAAGGCACCAGCTTGTGCAGCCCAGACGGAATGTGTCCTAGAGTGTAGTTCCAGGCAACATACTCAGTACCTTGTCTGCCCAGAGTGCAGACAAGGTGCTGAGAGGACATGTGTAATAGTGAAAACACGTTTGCACCCATTCAGTAATCCAATTGACAATGTTTGCTGCCATCGTAGGTAATCGCTGAATAAAATAAATCTAACTGGTCCGTCTTACGCAGAAACTTTATTAATTAACCCTAGATAATCTGGCCTTGGTCAGACATGCTGCACGTTCCCTGCACCCTCTTAAAGGCCGACCAACAAGCAGAAAGAAAACTCTCCCTCGATTCCTCCGTTCCATTTGAGAAAGAGGGAGACCCTCCCCCTCTCTACCGGGAGTAGTTCAGAGATCCGCTCGTGTGGAGAGGAGGGGAAAAGTGGGCGAGTGGGAATGGAGAGAAGGAAACTGGGAACCGTTTTTTTCCCCGGTAGAAGATGATTCTGTAGGTCGGACTTTAAGTGTGACCAAGCGCAATGGCCGTTGGCTCAAAAGCCGTAGGATCAAGGACTGCGGCTAAGTCGTGGGACTTGCCTTTGGCTTCCCGGAGCATTTGGAGCTCTCGCCTTCGCTGTTCTGGTTCTACTTGAACGCGGAGTCCCAGAGCTCCGCTCACAAGACGACGCGCCACTGAGGCCGACGTCTGTGGTCGGGGCTTGAAGGGCTGCAGGAACTCTGCGCACAAACCGGTCTCTTGTCAATGCCGCGTCCGCAGCTGGCCAAGTAGGCAGCGCGGCTGTGGCCTAACAGTTATCGTGCTTGCTTCCCACGCGAAGAGCCAGGGTTTGATTCCTGGGAGCGATGCTTCTTTTATTTATTCTTGCAATTTAGTGTTCTGGTACATTCGAGAACTCTGTTGCTTGTTCGAGGTATGAATGTTCTAGTCGCCGAACCTCCTAGGTCGACTGTTCCAGAAGCCAGCGCGTGTACATAAGGGGCTCCAAGCGGCAATCCGCAGTCAGTCTTGCCCCAGCGTTCGACTCTGCTCTTACGCCGACTTCGACGCCCACGACGTCCTGCTGTTATCATCTGTTTCCTTTTTATTTTTGAGCACAAGTTCGCCCGATTAAACGTTTAGTTTCTTCAGTTATTCGCCGCCTCATCACTTGTCCTTCGTGACACTTGTCCTATGCCACCGTTGAATGTTCCCGAGCAAAATGTGAACTCGCACTAATCCTCCACTTGAGCAGATTGTGCCGCACAGTGTATGAAAGTCCACACTACGTTTACTTGAATCTAACGCAACCTCTTCATTCTTGCCTCTACTCTCATACATAGCATGCAAAGGGCCAATCATTGTGGTTCATAGGAAGAGACCGGCAAATGAGAGCCGGGTACAATTTGGACTCAAAACTGTGACCAGCATTAGAATTCTGAGCACAACACTCGCGTGCCGAGATCCCAGCAAAGACGAGGTTTATGGGATTGAATATATTCCACGTCTCATCAGCTGCGAGCCTCCTTTCTTACACTAATGATTTGCTTTCTACACATTGCATTGGATTTAAGTAAATGTAGTAACCAAGATATAGGCTTCTTGCAAACAAATTCCCTCAACATTTTGACCTCTAGGGTTCATTGAAACTGCACCTATGACCAATGGAAACCTCGCGCAGAATACCAAAGCACTCTCCACTGGAAGCGAAGTCATCTTCATCAAGTCCTTGGCAGCTAACCAAGGGAACCCTCCTCACCTGCACACCGTTTAACTTTGAGCTTGGATTGCTTGGAGGCCTCCGAAATGTGTCGCATCTTCATCAGGGGGGTTTGTAGCGAGAGGGCCTCTGTTGCTGCAGGACAAAAAAAAGAGAGCAAATATGGCCGTATTGCTTTATTTTGCTACTATTCACATCGCCCTGCAGCGATGCAGGGGTCGCAAAGCAAGTTTCGACTAAGTCACTGCAATAACCTTCGTGACATGTGGAGCAAATCACTCATCTGTTAAGCTTTCAAAAAGTTGGAATGAGGAAACAAAAAAGTCTATACAAAAGAACAGAGTGAAAGAAACCAACCTGCTAAATAATTTACAAAAAAAATGAGACGCTTGTAATGCGAAATTAGAGCCCAGCTCTCGAGGAAAAGGAGGGGAGGGTATGCCCCTCCTTCTCCAATTCAGTTACCCCTCCAAGTTTAGCGGGGAATACGACGTCACATGGGACTTGGTGTCACGTCACCCATGAACAAATTCAGTTTTTCCGCTAGATTTAGCGGGAAAATTGACGTCGCGCGACCCCAACACCAATTGAATTCCCCGCTATATTTAGCGGGGAATTGAATTGGTGTTGAGGTCACGCAATGTCAATTTTCCCGCTAAATCTAGAGCGGTTACACCGGCGGCGACGCTGCGAAGCACAGACACGAGCGCCTAAGAGCTGTGCTCTAAAAAAAGGCAAAAAAAAATGCAACCGCTACATTGAGTATTTTCGCAAGCTTTCTTAAGGCAGTATATGGGCGTGAAATTACACTTCAGCGTTCCATCATGCCAAGGCGGTTTGGCGTGGCGGCAGAGAAGTTTTTCATCTCAGCAGCTCCCTTTTTCTTTGCAAGGGAAAGAAGTGTTCGTAAGGCAGGGCACTGGCAGCACTGCCGAGACCTATTGCCACTGTGACAGTCAGGACCGGCGAGGCCCTGTGCTCCTGCTGCCCAATGCTGCTTGTTTACTCGTCTTTTTAGGGAAATTTAGGGAAAAAGAAGCCGGTGTGCCTACGGGGCAGAGCCGGGACCATCACTTTCTGGAGGCTCTTTTTTTGGTTCTTCCCTCCCCCTAACTTTTTGGGAGGAAAACAAAGGTTTGTCCATGTCCCTTTTGAGAAAGTTCCTCATAGTGCTGCTGCTATTCTGAACCAGGATCGGAAGATGCTAGATAAAGCGAGCCAGCTGAAAGGTATAGTAGGTAAATTGTTTGCAGCATTGCCTAAAATCAGTGTTGGGTAAAATACATCTAAAAAGCACTTGAAGTACAAAATAAATGAGGGTGCAACATACTATAAGTAAAGCACTATAAATACAACATAGTACTTTTTTGGCGGCGAGTAAGAGTAGCCAAAGAGTAGTTGTTCTACTCTCGCTTTCAAACTATCAAACACAATCAGTTTATAAGGCATTTGTTTGTATCGGTCCGACAGCCGCCATTACTTCACTCAGAAAAATGACCGGACGGTGTCTTGAAAGACTATAGTGCATTTTAAATTTTTTGTTTTTTTCTTTTTTGGTAAAGGTTGGTGAACCCTCACACTCGACCTCAGAAGTTGTGTATAGCACTGGGAAAGCCAAGGACGTGAGCGCGTGGTTCTTAGAACGGCTTAATTTTACGAAGACCAAATTTGGGGAATGTACTTTGAAGTCGAGAGTTGCCCTTTCCTCGGAAAGTAGAAAAAAAAATAGTTTAAGTACATACTGAGAGAATGTACTTCAAGTAAAGTACATTCCCCAAATTTGCCTAGCATACTTCAAAGTTAATCAATTTTTGCTTGAAAACTGATATGCTAAATGTCTTCAGAGTATTGCCTAGCTGGAGAGCTGAAGAACTTAATACATTTTTTTATTTCTACAGTTACAGGTATACCGCAAAGAATATAGCCTTCTTTTTGTACCCCTAGTAGAACTAAATATCTGCATGGACAAAGTGAAATGTTGTCAGTTCTGCTTTCTCTCTCTGAATTTGCTAGAATATTTGCTACCTTTTGCAACATTTTCTTATTTGTCTATCTTCTTGCAATCTCCAGTATTAGGGAGTACTTTAAAGGGACACTGACCCCCCCTCAAATTTACTTTTTATATCTTTGCCAGGCAATTTAATCTGGTGTCAGAAGACTACCCAATCAATATTTTTGCTACGGAGTCACATATATTTTTAATAAAGTAGAAAAACGGAAGAGCTCGAAACTGAAACATGAGCATGGAGTTAAAGGCCACGACATGTGGACTGGGAAGGAGGGAGAAATGTAGAGGAGGAGAGAGTTGGCGGAAGTCATGTAGCTGCACCCAACCAAGTTTTTTTTTGCTGTGCAAAGCAAACAATAAACATGCAAACGTCAACCACTTTGTGCTTGACTTTTGCACGTTTGTCAAGCGTTTACCAATTTGTGTTCGTAAGACGAGCGATGTCTTCAGCCAGGAGAGGGGCGATGATTTGGCGACGTCTTTGTGCGAATCAGCTTGGTGGCCGGGCATGTCGTATAGAATAAATCCCAAGTGTTTTGGTCGGTAAAAAATTTCTCTTTCGAAGCTAAACAGATTCGCCGGTACCGCAAATGAAAATTCTGAAGTAGAGGTCCCACACCCGTCGCCATCGCTTAATCCACTTCGTCCAGCCCGCGACTTCAGCAATATGACGCCATGTTGAGAATTACGCAGTACAAGTACTTCCAGTACTCTGTGCCGCTTTTTTTTTTTCAATGTAATTGCAGCTTTTTAGAAACAAAACATATGGGTTTCATATTTTAGAGCGCAGCTCTTAGGCGCCCGTTTCCGGCTTGAGCGGCGTCGGCGTAACCAAGGTCACCCCAAGGTCACTTGACCCCCAAGTCACGTGACCCCTCTCAAGGTCACCCCAAGGTCACGTGACTCCTCCCAAGGTCATGTGACCCCCCCCCCCCCGGTCACGTGATCCCTCCCAAGGTCACGTGACTCCCCAAGGTCTCGTGACCCTCCGAGGTCACGTGGCCCCCCTCCCAGAGGTCACGTGACCCCCTCCCCGGAGCATATTCAAGAATGAGGGGAGGAGGAGGAGAAGAAGGAGGAGGAGGGGTTCACCCTCCCCTCAGTACCCTTCCCTCCTCCTCCTCAAGAGCTGCGCTCCAATTCGGCGTTACAGGGAGTTGTAAACGGCTTTCACTTTTTTTTTTGTTTTTAATAATGAGTTTGTCCCTTCGATGACCCACAACTAGTTATATTTAAGATGTGCGTCTCAATCGGCCAGTTTTTGATCGACAACTTTCGGGAGGAAAAAAAAAACAAGAAATTTTGAGCAGCAAATTGTTTTGAATAGCTGGGCTCTCATATGTCACATACAAATAAAAACCTTGGTAAGCATAAATACCTTGTCAGTGTCCCTTTTAGTACACTGTAATTGAACTACTACTTGAAGTAGATTCATAAAACTTGTACTTTGTTTGAAGTACATTCTCTCAGTATGTATTTGTACTTTACTAGGGGTGTGCAAAAATTCGAAATTTCGAATACGAATCGAATACTTTTCTTATTCGAAACGTATTCGATTAGAAAATTGCATATTCGGAAGTTCCCGAATATTCGGGAAAAACGGCGAATATTCGCACAAACTGCGAATATTCGAGCAAGTAACGAATAATCTGCCTGCCACGCGTTACCCTATGAATATGTTAATTCACTGAGAAAGATGTACAATTCGTGCGTTATCCGTCTGCTCCGTTTCTATCTGTCCGATGCCAGCAAGACAGGATCAGGTTCGATTTCTTTTTCACCAAGCCCTCGTTGTGTGGCACTTGTATAGCAATATGTAATGTAATTGCGCATTCTATAAATTGATACAATGAAATAAACCTCGAAAGTGAAATATAAATATAAAATAAATCTCGAGTGTGTTATCTAATATATATTATTAAATGTTTGAAAATTAAAAAAAAAGAAAAAGCTAGGTGCGAGCAGAACATTGCATCGCTATCGACAACAACAACTACCACTCCCGCACAGTCAAAGATGGGATTGTCGCGAACCTGCCCAGGTTCGAGTTCGACCAATTTCGACTTTTTCTAACTTTCAACGTGAGGTTTGACAAAGGTTCGAGTGAAGCTCGACTTTTGTGCGCATGCACAAAAATTTAAAAAAAATATAGTTGACTCCGTCCGGCAGAGGAAAAGTGCTACATTTGTTGAGTTTATTGGCATCACTGGTTCACATTAATAACTAATGAAAGCGTTAAAGGCGCATATTTTCGCTTTTATATGGTGTAAACATTGGTAACCATTTCATGAAATATAAAATAAAGTACTTTATAAATTATTTGTTTCCCAAAATTCCAAATATTCATGTAGCAGCCGGGCAATAACACTGTCCATAGGTGGGACTTCGAACTTTAGTGCAATTTTGCAGGTTTCCCCGAGTAAAAGGGTCTTTCTACTGGCGGAAATGTTGTCACGGCGCGTAGGAAGCGCTTACTTTCTGAACACGTTGAGCAGTTAATTTTCTTATACGATAATTTGTAATGAGTGCATTACTAGAAGTATCTGCTGCAGCCCAGTAATATGCAGTTGCATTGATTTATTTTAGAAAGGAAATAAAACCTGGTCTTACCTCTTGTTTTGCAATCTTTTATTACTAGACAGATATTCGATATTCAATTCGATATTCAAACCCCTTTTTTTTGTCTTATTTGTATTCGATTAGTATTCGAAAATTTCAATATTTGCACACCCCTATACTTTACTGAAGTTGTTTTTTTTTTTGTACTTTTTGATGAAAGTGCAACTCCCGACCTTAAAGTACATTCCCTAAATATGGTCTCAATAAATTTGTATCACAAAATGATGCATTGTTAACTTTAAAGAAATACTAGGCAGGATATTCTACTCTCTCCAACAACGCAACCGGACGATGCATCGCTCCCTTTGCACTGGAGGCGGCTTTCCCGCAGCATTTCAAACTCGCTACTTCTACCTCAGTCAGTGCACGCGAGGTAGTTAAAAATATTTGAAGAGGACACTCCTCCACGAGAGGATTGCTTGCGGAAGCTACGGTGCTGACGTCATGCTCTCTTGATCCTGGAATATTGTGTCAAAAAGTACTTGTACTTTACTTCGAAAGTACATTGAACTGATAGAACTTTACTTCAAGTACATTGCACCCAGTGTACTTACTACTTTACTTGAAGTACACAGACTCTCATTTACTTTGTACTTTACTTCAAGTACTTTCAAGATGTACTTTACCCAACACTGGTAATCTCAAATGCAATAAAAAGTGCATGTACATAGAAACATAGTGTAAAGGAATTGCTTAAATGAAACCATTGCCACGTAGATGCTAGTAAGTGCCAGTATGACAATCTACTGGATTTTGAGTTACCGGCAAATGGTGTTGAAAACACCGCGAGGACATGGGTGTCGTCCACCCATTTGATGTTGAACTGGTCTCTGAAAAAGAAATAATGGACATAAGTAGTGATCTTACATCATTTACAAGAAAACAAAACCAAAGAGAGCTCAATGTACACACTGACTTAAAAGGCACAATGAACAAAATTTGGAGTTTGCATTTACAACAGAAACCTGTACTAGACAGTGGACAGCAAGTGAAGACAAATAGGAATTGCATCTCAATTTCCAGAAACAAGGGGTGTGCGAGTATTCTAATAATTTGCAAGTAATGTTTGCCATGCGATTTGAAGCACCTTTACTGTGAAAAATATTTGAGGTCTTTAAATATTAGAAAATTGTGAATAACGCCTTCAGAATTCCCCTGATTTCTCTTGCCAAGTTTCACCACATTGCACCAGCACTCCAGCATCAAGTTTCACCACTTTGCTTAGAAAAAAAAAAATAGCTCATGTGACGGAGCATCCCGGTTGGTTCGATAGGCTCAGAAAGTTTGCTCATTATTGTAAGTCAACCCCTAATTTTAAAGGACAGTGTCAAAAGAATAAGGTAGCCATCGCTTTCTTTGCCATGATGCATGTTTTATACCTGACTCATCTTATCAGAGATTTTTGCTTATGGATCACAAGTACCTAAAATATTTCCCACGCAATAGAGCTATTTTGCTTTTCATAGATGTTTGCCAAAAAAGAATTCCAGCTGCGATTTACATTAAATGTAAAACAATGCCATTTGAAAATATTAGGTTAGATTTGCAGTCAAATCATCATCATCATTTATTTTCCTTGAGGCCCCGCAAGGGGCATTACAGAAAGGAGTGGGCGTATTTTGAATTCGCATACCGGAAGCCCAGCCGACCCCATAATATAAACATGCATTTTACCCCCCTTCCCCTATCTCTAACGAGCCCTAAGTCATGGACGTCCCAGCCCTCCACCCCTCCCGAAAAAAATTACTGGCTACGCCATTGCACGCCTCCACCAGAAACGTTTTAAAACTATGCTAATATACCATTTCCCTCCTTTTCTTTGTCTCCCATGCATAGGCAATATATTCTCTTCCGTTAGGGACAAGGTGAAAGAGCCGCAAAAAGAGCATGATGTCGGTGTACAACCATTTTTGTCGCAGCAGCCAGTTGGCGACTAAACAGAAATGCAATTAGCAGGGTTATCGCTTTTAAAGGGCAATCTTTTTAAAAAAAACTTTCACCGGTTCTGTTTCAAATATGGTACCGAGCATGGCGAAGTTACGAGCACTGTGAAATCTCCTCCGTTGAGGATTCAAATGACGTGAGCTGCCATCTACCACTGGCACAAGACGGCACCTACAAGATGCAAGCCCTTCCAATATTTTCCTGCACTCACCTGCTGCACGAGAGTCCAGACACCACATCCTTAGTCTCAAATTCAGGAGGAAAGTTGTAGATCTCCAGAATGTGTCCATACTCTGCATTTACCGAAAGAACGCTCGGTAAAAGCTTTGGTCACAAAACAACATTTTTAAACTAGATGTTCGCTGCCTCACCTAAACGGTCCTAACCTTTTCATATGTCAACTGTATGCCATTGCAATAGCACATTCTCACTACAGCACTAAGGATCAGCTGCAAGTATCGATGAGAAAGATAGCTTAGTCCAACTGAAGAACAGGTCTAACTACCAAAGTGGCACACTAAACTCAAAAAATTTCCCTTAAACGGTAAGGAAGGTATTATTCTTCAGCCGAAATTGCTCTGAAGTCATAGCTTCAAGTTAATAAAGTATATATTTTTCTAAACTTCCACGAGCAAGAAAAAAGTAAATCGCATAATTCTGTTCACTCAACAGACCCTGAAATGAGGCTATTTAGGTTTCATAAGGCTTTGTTTTCACAATGCTTTGTACCGGTGAAACTTCTTGAAGATGTGCTCGGAAGCACGGATCTGCCTTTGTACAATATTTGAAGGACCTCCCTCGACACCCTGAAATTAATTTTTTTTAAAATGCACTGTGGCAGGCCCATTTACTGCAATATGCGTGCCTTCTACCTCTTCTAGAAGAAAGTCGGCAGCAAGGTAAGCCACAGTTCAGTTTTTCCCACCCTGATGCCTAAATCTCAAGTATAGTAGCCTGGCCAAACCCTCCAAAAATGCTTGAGCCACTCGCCTGCCTCCGAAAGATCCGGAATGTGTGGCTCAAACTTAGTGTAGTCAAGCTCCGCGTACTGCACCTTAATGTCGCCCAGAGCTTGAGTAATCTGAAAGAGTGCAGGAAAAGAGAGATGTCCCATCTTAATCTTGGCCCCAATGTTTCGAAGGCAGAGAGAGCACACTGCAGGATACTCACATCTTTGAGCACCCCCGGGTCGAAACATTCTCCCGATTCGTCAAACAGAGCATCCCACGAATCGTGCTCCTGGCCGTCTTGCTCACCAGAATATGACGCCGAGCCATTTGTGGATGTGACCTCGGAAGGCTCTAATGTCTCGTGCCGTTCAGATTCCGATCGTTCAGGCACACTTTTCACACCCTCGCACAAGCAGGCGTCCCCTGCAGCAGCAGGCAGTTCTAAAGAAACATCAACCTCGGCCACCACTTGTTCCGACACGGCACAGATATCTTCCGACGTGTTGAATTCTTCCGAAATGGCAGATATGGACAACTCGTCACTTTCAAACACCGATTGTTCAGAAATATTGTGGAAATCTTGTGAAGTGCACCCTGAGCCAGTGGGCAGATCCAGTACCTTATCATCACTCTCGGTTCTTGCTCGTCCTGGCAGATTGGGGACATTTTTCAAAGAGCTCGCGTTTTCCGGAACAATGGAGGGTTTTAGTGTATGATCAGTCTCTAGGATGTTTTGCACCAGTGCGGCATGTAAATCTCGTAATGTGTCCTCTTTCCCAGAAATGACGGGTGGTGTCAATGTTTCGTCATTTTTCAGCTTTACTTGTGCCGGCACAGCATAAATATCCCTCTCAGAGTCATTGACATCTGGCATAGTCACTTTTATGGATTTGTCACTTCTGGAGTTTTCTTCTAATGGTAGATTATTGAAATCTGCCAATTCATCACCTCTCTCTGAAGCAAAATGCGATTTCAACACCTCGCCGTTCTTGGACTCTGCGTGTGCTGGCATGTCAGGCAAAGTCTCTAATGAATGAGGTCCTCCAGACAAAGTAGGTGGCTTCAGTCTCTCATCGGGCTTAGATTTGTCTTCTATCATCGCACAATTCGAGTCTTTCAACGAGTCGCTTTCTTCCAACACGGCAGATGGCTTCAATGCATCATCACTTTTGGAGTTTGCTAGTGCTGGTAAGGCGAGGTTATTTTTCGATGAGCTTACTTCTAGCAAAATGGGCAGTGTGAATGTTTCCTCCGTCTTCAACCCTTCTTGGACCACCGCTCTACACACATCTTTCAGTGATACGTTCTCCGATACAACAGGTGGGTTTGACGACTCATCGCTCCCGGACTTTGCTTGAACTGGCACAACATCAATATCTTTCGAAGAACCTTCCCCTTCCGACGGAACAGGCGGTTTTAATGACTCCTCTGCTTTAGACGCCGTTTGAACTGCAACACTATGCAGGTCTTTTAACGATGCACCTTCTGATACAGCAGGTATTTTTGACAACTTCTCACTCCTTGACTTTTTTTGTAGTGGCACAGCATGGCTATCTTTTAAAGAGCCTTCCCTTTTTGATAGAACAACCTGTTTCGATGGCTCCCCTGCTTCGGACGCTGCTTGAACTGCAGCACTGCACAAACCTTTTGATGAGGCACTTTCTGACACAGCAGGTAGTTTCATTGTTTCATTGCTCCTGGACTTAACTTGCACTCTTTGCACATCAGTGGCCGAGCTCATTCCTCCTAAGGACACAAGTGGCGTTGGTACTCCACTGTTCCAAGACTGCACTTGCTCTACTGTACCAAACAAATGTTTTGACGAGTCTGGTCGTGATGGTTCCAAGACTGAAGAATGTTTTGAAGCCACGTCTCCTTTGTGCTCCCCTTGTTTCAGTCCAAGGGGCAAACTTTTTGACAAATTGGCTCCTCCCAAGACGTCTTGCTGCCCCGACGCTGCAGCCTTCTTTTGCACACTTGAGCATTCTGCCGCCTCCGTGTAAGGTTGCGACGACTTGCTCAGACTGCGGTCGCCGAGACACCCCATAGAGTCTGTTGAAGGTTCAGGCAAACAACCCGGGAGCGGGGTGGTTTGCTGCTTTGGTGCATTGCAACTTCTCCCAGCAGGAATGCTCGCTGTCGACCGCCTGTCAAAGTGTTCCATTTGTGTTGTGCTCAGACACGGTGCACCATGATTCTGCGATAAAAGGGCTTCCCCAGCCGATGGTCTTGGACCCTTTACCTCGGTGTTCCATCTCGTTTGGTCGTCATCCCGCTTGCTGATTCGGTCTTCCTGGGCACAGCTAGATGCTGCACGTTGGGGAGGTTCCAGGTTGCGCCCTCTAGGAACATAGAGCTGCATGTCGGGCCGCCTCTGCCGCCTGCTCATGAAATAAGTCCTACGTTAGATACTGACCAAAGTGTGCAGATAGGACACTCGAAAGCTTCTGAACGTTTACGAGCGAAACAAAGTTTCATCCGAACAGTGTACCGAATACCTGAAGCCCGAGTTGGCATTGTTTTGTATAAAGTAAGCTTAAAAACAATAGATATTCTTAAAAAAAAAAAAAAAATGCAGCTCAATATTTTTTTTTTTTTTTTTTGGGGGGGGGGGGGGGGAATTGGAAAGGAGCTATGCAGCCAAAGTTGCTCGGGAGCTCCTTCATAACTCCCAAGTTCCCAGCTCCTTGACAGGGTCACACTCCCATTAGCTCTCTGGCATTCTTCTATCAGGCAAGACTCTACAAGAACAGAAATCAGATTGCCTTACCGTGCCGCCCTCGGAGGTAGTGCCGCCTCCGTCTTGTTAGTCGCAACCTTCTTCATTCTATACGACAGGAAATCAACTGGCAACCCTTGCTGTCGGCAGAGAGTAAGAGCTAGGCGGTGTACTCCCTCATGATTGCACTGTCTGCTTGTCAGAGCACTGTGGACCAAAATGATGCACTAGATCAGTCAGTCAGTCAGTCTTAAACATATTAAAAAAAAGGTAATCCATTCCATATACAATTACTCCCAATCAAAAAGTATTTGCAAAAATGGGGAATGTCTGTCGTTATCACATATGGTTGCTAGCAGTTTCACTACTTAAACAGAACTGATAAAACTATAGTACCCAGAGAAAAAGAAAGTAAAACAGTTACAGAATCAGTTATAAAAGTAATCCACTACAGCGATGCGCAACAGGAGTTTGATTACAGGACACTCGCAGACTGATAGTTCTTTTGAAGGCACATGGCTGGAATCACTTGCACGAGTTCAGATTTGCTCAGTCAGTAACTTCAGGTGAGTTAAGGGTTCTTTCTTATAACGATTTGTTTCGCTTACTGGATCAGGCGGGATTTCAGACAAACCGCCGTTCTTCGAAGATCATTCTCGCCCAACGAAAAACTACAAAGGTTTTCGAAGTTTTCCTCGACAACCTTGTGGGTCAAAAACCTCTCCCGTTTCAGCAAGGCAGGAAACAGCAACAGGCTAGAAGCAAAACAAATATAAATTAGGCAAAATAAAAACATAAAAAGATGCAGTGATTTGACCGACAGCAGAGGTCTATCCTTTTTTTGATCTCTCTTTAGATTAAACAAAACGGAAGATTTGGTTACCTGTTTTGGACGTCGCCGCTGGCGAACTTGCGGACTTCCTTGAAGACAGTGTCTAGAAACTGTTCTTCCTTGCTCAGGGAGGAACTCTATACGCGCGATGGTACCTCAATTACAACGGTGCACCTTGGAACGTAGCATTCCTAAAGTAACGGGACAACTCGGATGAAAAACGAACCTGAAGAGTGTCATGTTCCATGACTGACCGCGGCTGCACGGAAACAAGGATGCGGCTGTTCGGGCCCACAGGGAACACGGAGCGTGAGAACAAGCATTCGCCACATTCATTGTTTGCGGCAATTCCAAAGCAATGAACGCTACGCTAATGTAGGGCCACAGCTACCAAAATCAGCGATTAGAGCACCGATTGAAGGGACTCCTCCACTACCACTCCACTGCGCCATTGCTCTATGAGCGGTGATGGCCATGATGGCGCTGAACTGACTGAAGCGAAGGCTAGCTGGCTGTAAGCGAATTTAGAGATATAAAAACAAAATTACTTTGTCAGCAATTGTTTTATACGACTACTTCTCAATTTCTAAAAATAGATGCCTGCCCAACTAACATTTCTGAGAACTTCAGTCAAATTTAGCCGGATCAATTCAAGAATTCCAATCCAATCCAATCCATCCTTCTCATTTGGCTGTATTATTTAGGGCTGTAAAGTGGTTAAGTCGTTAAGTTGTTGGCGTGATTTTTGCTTCTTCTGTTTATTTAATTTTGCCTTCTTCCGGGCCCTGATGAGCCCGAAAGTCACTTGAAAAATGTTGACTACATCTGAAGTTGATCTGTGTGCCGTATCGCCGTGTCCAGGTGTCCAGGTTCGGGCTTTTGCGAACGCCCGTAGGGATGTTGACATGTGAGCTCACCCGTGCGCCCGTGCTACGATGAAGCCGCGAACATGACTTAACATCGCAAATATGAACGTGATGTGGCCAGATTACAGGCACGCTCTTGGGTTATTTGTGTACTTATCAGTATGCCAGTTAATCGTGTACTACTGGAACCACAAGGCCTGGCTTTACGATCCAACTTCGTCTCTCGAGGACAGGTCGAGTTCCGCCTGGTGCCGCGGTTCGCATCACACCGAAAGGACGTGTACTTTTAGAAACCTGTGCTTTCGAAGTGACACAGGGGATTTTGTATTCTTTCATGGCGAGCGTACAACGATGCTTGGGAATCTGGACAGCGGACACAATCCCGCGCTTGCGGATTTGTCATCCGTCAACGACCACGGTGCTTTTTATTTTACGTTCGTCGACGCTCCTTTGGCAGCGCGGGCACAGTTTGATGTTAAAGACATACACACCGACACGATTGTCATGAGTCGCTTTAACCCAGATAACTTGATGCACGTGTTCCACGACGACCTCATTCCAATATTTGCAACGGCTCGAGAACATCGTGGCTGCAGCACCGGCGAAGAGGTGTCCAACTGCCTCGACAACTTGACATTGTTTTTTACAGATAATAGGCCGAAAGGACCGTATTGGTACCTCTATCAAGTTCTTACGAAAGACCTGCTGTTGGTACCACCTTCCAAAACAACACAGCTGTACTGCTTCAACAAAGCGATTGTGGGTTTGCAGAAACAGAGCACATGGTACCAGTATGGCTTTAGAATGCCACAGGGACCTCTTGAAAGAAATCTCCAATCGGCCGGCAAGGAAATTAAGCTGTTTACGAAAGAATTCCTGAAAATGCTCAACATACAACCATCTCTGTCGGTGGAGGCCGGTTATGCCGTAATTGTATCGAGGAGCAGGAACAGACTGATTTTGAACGAGGAGGAGCTGCTGGACATGGTAAAAACGCACGCAGCTCTGGTGCCGGTCGTCGTAGACCTTGAGAGACAGGCTCTGTCCAAAGTCCTACAATTGCTGGTGGGGGCCAAGTTGCTCGTTGCCATGCATGGTTCGGCCCTCATTTTGTCCATGTTCATGAAGCCAGGTGGGGTAGTCTTGGAAATGTTCCCTTACGGCATAAATCCCAACCAGTACACGCCTTACAAGACTCTGGCCACCTTGCCAGGGATGAATCTTGTCTACAAGTCCTGGAGGAACACGAACCTGAGCAACTCCGTTCCCCATCCGGAGTACGAACCACACCTCGGAGGGATATTGCACCTCCCCGTCGAACAACGGGACAAGATACTGCACAGCAGTCAAGTGCCGCTGCACCTGTGCTGTGAAAACCCAGAGTGGCTCTTTCGAATCTACCAGGACACTATCGTGGACTCGTCCATCATTCCAGTGCTCGTGCAGGTTAAAGCCACAAAGGCACTAGACAATGAGGGTCCAACAAGGGCTATGTCTCCGGGCCCAGTTTTAGATATCAAATGTGCCATAAAAGAACTGCCTCAAAAGCGTAGACTCCTACATGTTTCTTGGGCAAAGCCATGGAATGTGGAGTTTGTTGGTTTTAGTAGCTGCATGTATGAAGTTTGGCTGCAAAGCGACAGTCGAGTGCAAACCTTCCGGGTTGAATCTATGAAGTACTCCAACCTTACGACAGAAAACGGGTTTCAGGTATGGATTAAAGCCATCTGTGATGGGAATTCGGGACCTTTCAATGTGTTTCCGGCCCACTGCAGGTTGTGAGATAGTGTACCTTGCACATGCTGTGGTTCCCGATGTATTGGCGTCTGGGTGAAATCTCAGTGACACCCTCTTATGGTTCCTGACTGCGACGTGATGGCCAGGTTCTGTCTCAACGGTAATGATCCTGGCTACTTATCATCAGTTGCGAACGAGTTTGGTGGTGTGTGTAGAGAGCATAGTGGGAAAATTCCAACATTACCCTTACTCTCGTGGATCAAAGCAGAATAAATCCTTCTTAGCCCTTTGAGTGCTGGGTTTTTTTCGGCCCAGCAATCCCCCTGTGCCGTTTTTTTTTAACTGCACGAACAAATTTATTTTGGGCGTAATAATATGTTTACATGCTTCAATGTGTATGTTCATCTAAAGAATACATATCTTTTAAACTCCGGAAGACGACGAGCCAAGACTGTGAAGAATAGGAGTGAAGTCACCTGTAGGTCCACTTGTAGCCAGTGTCGAGTTTTTTTTTTCTTTTTGAGTAGCCTCTCTGGTGGCGTCGAGTCGTCGTCGCTTTCGTCACTCTCCAAATAACACTCGGTTTCACTGTCATCAGATTCTGAATTCATTAGAAGTTCCTGTATTTTTAGCATCCGTCAAGGAGCGTGAAGTCAAAGCATGTGCGTTCGCCATTGGAAAAGATTGTCGACGCGGAAACGCATACGGAAGTTGCCTTTACAAAAAATCTCCACTTGCCGTCAAGAGGCGAAACGACCGCTCAAAACATTGATTCAATTGGTTGTCCATAGATGGCGCTTCTTGTTCAGAAGAATATTAGAAAACGCAAGCTAGACAGAGGTTCATACTCTCGCATCAGGGATATCAATTAGAGGGAGATGATGCGATACAATATATAGGAGCAGTGATGGAGGAGAAATTTCGGGAACGGTTACATGTGGAAGATAGGAGAACCGAAGGAAGTAGGAGTCCAGTTTGTGACATCGCGGATTTTGGACAAAGAGAATGGGAAAAGGCGGAACGAAGAGTCCCTAGTGGCACGTCGACAGGCACAGATGGTATCCCTATCAAGCTGGTGAAGAATTTGGGTCCTAAATCTAAGGCAAAACTAAGGGAGGTAGTGAGTACCATGATAACAAAAGGAAATATTCCAGATGAATGGAGGCTTAGTAGGATGAGTATGATATATAAGGGAAAGGGAGATAAGTCTGATATTAGGAATTATCGTCCTATAACCGTGACACCGGTTATTTACAGGTTGGTAATGCAGATTATAAAGAACAGACTGGAGGAATGGGTAGATTGCGAGGGCATACTGGGCGAATTACAGAACGGGTTTCGAAAACAAAGAAGGTTGGAGGACAATTTATTTTCTCTAACACAGTGTATAGAAATAGCGCAAAAAGAAAACAGACAGCTCTGGCTGGCATTTCTGGATATCAAGGGTGCCTATGACAATGTGAACCAAAGAAACCTGTGGGACATAATGGAGAACTTAAACCTAGATGAAGGACTAACAGCACTATTAAGGAACATTTACAAAGATAACAAGGTGATTATAACATGGGAAGGAAAGGCGACAGGGAAAATAGAGATAAGACGAGGCCTTAGGCAGGGGTGCCCGTTATCGCCTTTGCTGTTTATGTTGTATCTGAGAGGATTGGAGGATAGACTAGAGAAGAGTGGGCTTGGGTTCAACCTTTCTTACAGTAAGCTAGGCCAAAAAATTCAGCAATCCTTACCGGGATTGATGTATGCGGATGATATTGTACTAATGGCTAACAACAGGACAGAGTTGCAGGAATTAATGAGCATCTGTGGTAGGGAAGGAGAGGAATTAGGTTTAGAATTCAGTAGCGAAAAATCGGCAGTCATGATTTTTAACGAGGATGAAGTTGAGAGGCTGAAGATACAGAATATTACAGTTGAGAGAGCTAGTAAATACAAGTATCTAGGAGTATGGATATGTGATGGTGCAGAATATCTCAGAGACCATGAAAAGTATATAATAGGTAAGGGCAACAGAAATGCAGCTGTAATGAAGAATAGAGCACTTTGGAATTACAACAGGTATGAGGTGGTTAGAGAGATTTGGAAAGGGGTCATGGTGCCTGGCTTGACTTTTGGAAATGCAGTGCTATGCATGAAATCCGAAGTGCATGCGAGACTAGAAATAAAACAGCGCGGAGTAGGTAGACTGGCTTTGGGGGCACATTGCAAAACGCCAAACCAGGGAGTACAAGGAGACATGGGATGGGCATCATTTGAGAGCAGGGAAGCGGTGAGCAAGGTAGAATTTGAGGATAGGTTGAGGCAAATGGACGGGGAGCAATGGGCACGAAAGGTTTTCAGCTATTTATACATGAGGAGTGTAGACACAAAGTGGAGACAGCGCACTAGGAAATTAAGAAAAAAGGAAGAGCAAGTCTCAGTTAAGAAGAAAGTTAAGGCCACAGAAAGAGATTGGTGGCTAGAGGGAATGCAGACAAAGACGGCTCTGGAAAGCTATAGATCAAACAAAAGAGTTATTGCCAAAGAAAGCATTTATGACAATTCTAGGGGAAGCTCATTGCTGTTTGAGGCAAGAACGGGTGTTCTGCGAACCAGAACATACAGAGTGAAGTACCAGGAAATTGATACAGTGTGCACTGCTTGTGGAGAGGAGGACGAGACGGCTGAGCACTTGATACTCTACTGTAAAGGGCTTCACCCTATGCCTACCGAAGACAACATAGATTTAATAAAGTCATTGGGTTTTAGAGACAGCGAAGGGAGAGTGGATTTCAAGACTGTAGAGATTACCAAGCAAAGATTAAGTGAATGGTGGCAGAAATCGAGAGAAAACTAGGTATTTTCTTATCCACTGATGGAAAGGGGGTTTCATAGCCTCACTTTCTTTGCACTGCGGAGTGAATATAGATTTCACATTTAAATATTATAAGCTTAAATGGTAAAACAAAATGGCTAGGTGGCGTAAGCTACCGCCCGATCCAAAGGGCTCAGCCGTATTCATCCATCCATCCATCATCCAATATTGTCATCCCTAGTTTAGCCGGGAGAGGCAGGGAGTAAATTGAAAACCCGAAACGAGTATACTCGGGCGCGGCAGTTAAAGGGTTAAGACGGTTAAGATGTCACAGTGATGAATCTTGGGCAGTCATGGAAGGCTGACCACAACTATGTCAACTATGTTTTTGGTCGTGCACATCCCCAATACTTCTGTAATTTGACATAGCCTCCACGGTGGCTCCGAGGCAAAGCGCTGGCCTAAGGATCCCCAGGTGGCGGCTTCGAATCCCGGCCGAGGTGACTGCAATCTGATGGAGGCTTAAGGCCCGTTCACACTCTTGCAACCGAGTACGACCGAGTACGACCGAGAGAGACCAGACCGGTTTTTAAGCCTCTTGCGATCTCTTAGGACCAGCTCCGCTCAGCGCATCCGGTCCCAAGAAGTCTTTCTCGGTCGTACTCGGTTGCAAGAGTGTGAACGCGCCTCTATTGTGGAGAAGGCGCCGTCTAACCGAGCTTTCGGTTGCACGTCAAAAGATCCACAGGTGGTGGAAATTAATCCTCGGTCCTCCGCTGGGGCGTGCCAGATGCCAGTTGTTGGTTTGGCACGTAAAACTCGCAAATTTGACTTCTCGTACTTTGACATTTATTCTTTTCCCGTATACACCAATGCATTGTGTAGAAATAAGCCTATGTTTACCAACTGCATGTTTGCAGGAACCAGATTGACCCGAGTTGAAGTGTGCGCCGTGCCGACATTGGAGTCGCACATTATTCTATAGACCTTTTCCATGAGGGCGTTGTCATCTTGAATGTCGTTGCTCCCAGTATGGGTGCAAAAATTGTTTTGCCATCGCCACGTCAATAGAATACATTTAGGATATAAGTGTAACCGTTGCACATTCTCGTTTTGCCTCCCCTCTATTTTTTCACTATTTGCAGGATGAAATGTTTTACTATTTTTTCGTCGCCCATAGCGAATATGCCTACCAGGTAGTTGGGGACGAGAGTAAACGAAAAAGGTCTCGCGGAGCACAAGTTCGTCAGCTTCTCGCACAAAGGTTGTGATGATGTCAGAACGCCGAGCCCTTATTGGCCGATTGAAAAAAATATTTGGCCAAGATTTTTCAAGTTTCCTTACTTACCGGAGTAGTGCCAGATGACTGGAATAGAGCTCGGGTTGTACCGATTCACAAGAAAGGGGATAAGTTATTGGTGTCTAATTATAGGCAGATTTCAATTACTTGTAGTTGCTGCAAGTTATTGGAACACGTCGTGGCCGGTTATATTAAAAGCTTCTTATCTGAAAAGGGTATCTTATCGCCTAAGCAGCATGGATTCAGGAAGGGAATGTCCACCGTCACGCAACTCGTTACGTCTCATGAATTTCTCGCGATACTCGATGATTCAGGGCAATGCGATGTTCTTTTTTTAGACTTCTGTAAGGCGTTCGATAAGGTGCCGCATGCAAAACTGCTTTATAAACTCGAACGCATAGGACTTCCCTCTTACATTATTCTCTGGATAAGTGCCTACTTAAGAAATCGATCCCAATTCGTTGATGTTAACGGGCATGTTTCAAACGTTCTATCTGTCACTTCCGGCGTGCCCCAAGGAAGTGTGTTGGGACCGTTACTATTTCTTATTTATATAAATGATCTAACCGAAGTGGTTTCTTCGTCTGTTTCCATGAGATTGTTTGCGGATGACTGTATTGTTTTTAAAGACATCAACACTGCTGACGACCATCTTGCACTTCAAGAATCTATTATCGAGATAGAGCACTGGTGTGAAGCTTGGGATATGGATTTGAATATTGAAAAAACTGTGCTTCTAAAAATTACACGAAAAAAACATATAAGCTCATTTGAGTATCAGCTTCACAACATTGCCATTCCTGAGGTCACTAGCTATAAATATCTAGGTGTTACCATTACTAATCGCTTAATTTGGTCTACACACATCTCAAATATTTGCTCTAAAGCTTTCGCTAAACTGTGTTTTCTAAGGTGAAAGCTCAAACACGTTCCCAGTACTGTTAAGCTCCTCGCATACAATACGTTCATCAGGTCAAAACTCGAATATGCATCAGTCATTTGGGATCCTCACAATAAAAAAGATATCCACCAGCTTGAACTTGTACAAAGAAAGGCAGGTTTATATTCAGTAAATACAATAGATTGGACTCGCCCACGGAACTTATGAGGGATAACCAAATACCACCTCTCGATACACGTCGGAAAATGACTCGTATTTTATTTCTTTACAACATCCTGACATCCA